ATCTTCATGCAGCAAGATCATTCTGGACCCTTAGCTGAAAACAGATTATGGGAGCTGGGAGATGTAGGTGTGGAGAAAGGTGAAAAAGAGAGAGAGACTAGTGTACTGAGTGTGGGATGTTAAAGACAAAGAGTAATAAACCAAGGTTTTTGTTTTGAGCAGTGGGAAGGCTGGACAGTCATTAAATAGAAAGGGAAGAGCAAGGTTGGCAGAAAAGATTGGTTTGGTTTTGGCCACATTTTTGCAGATTTAGAGCTTAAAATCTAGAACCTTTAAATATTATTCGTCTCATCCTTAAAGAAATTTTATTTTTAGATCAAATGCACATAGTGCAAATTCTAAGTTCAATGAATGTAGAAAGTGGAAAGTTAGCTTTTGGCCTATCCCTTTATCCTCACGCTCAGATTAGTACCACTTATTGGCATTCTTCCAAAATAACCAATGTACAAACAAGTCTATATATATATTTTTAACTTTTTATTGGTACTGGGGATCAAACTCATAACCGCCTGCTTGCAAGGCAGGTGCTTATGCCTTTGAGCTAAATCCCCAGCCCCATAAGTCTATATGTTAATATTTTCATAATAATTTTTCACACTGGTAACATACTCTACAAACATTTGAATCTTGTCCCTCCCTGCACCCAACTCAATAATGTGTTCTATCAGTATCCGAAGAATTGGCTTATTCATGATTCTAATTTTCTGGTGTATGAATGCACTATGTTTAACAATCCTTTATTGATTGTGTTATCTGTTATCTTTTTAAATAATACTGTGATATATTTTCTGATCATGAGTCCTTTTACTCAGAGCTATCTCTAACATTCAGACAGGTATTATTCATTTTTCCTGTAGAGATTTTTCCCCCAAATGATACATGAGGTATTTCATCATGGTGCTAATAGGTGGGATTGTATCAGTTGTTACAATATTAGCGTATTTCTGTAAACACTGATAACCAGCTGCTCCCCCCACCCCAAGTGCCCTTCTCTAACATTTGAAACACTCTAGTAACCTCAGAATGCAGGTATTTTTATTTCTAGTAAGCTTATTATTTTTATCTTTGCCTTTATTGTAATAGAGTTGTATGTACTTAAAACATCCTTTGTGGTATGATATAAACCAAATTCTTTAAAAAGCGAAGTGTTACAACTATCCCTGTAGATTACGTTGGCACATGTAATGAAAACTATAGCTTTATTTGGGTATAGCAATGCTCTGCTGGTTTAAAGTGGCTGGTTTTCTGGTGCTTAGCAAGTATCAACTTGAAATTGGACTTTGCACAAAAAAACTGCAGGATGGGAAGAGGATACCTTAACATTTATAGTATCATGATCATACATAGAAAAATGGAAGCCAAACTACAGTTTGTTTTAATCCAGTGTTCCATTTGTACAACTGCTGCTGCTGCTAAGACTGTTTCCAGCGTCACTATTTCATAGAAAAATAAACTTGCTGCAAGAAGTTTCTCTTACAAATCTAGCTTAACCCAAATAAAACTGCCTCTCCCAGTACCAAGTAAGTTCACACGAAGTATGAAAGCCCAGTGTCAGTCATTTGGCTCCATGGAATTGAATTCTGAATCTGATGCACAGTAGTGAGTTGTAGAGCTTACACTGGTGTGTTCTGAAACAGCTGGCTACTAAACAAACATTAGGTAGATGAAATTGTTTACCTTAAGGATTATAAACTAGTGATAAATGCTAGAGTGGAAATCTGGTTAGTCAGTGGGCCATTCAATAAAGTCCTTAAAATACTTTTACCATTATGAAGCTTTAGGCACATGGGAAAAACAATGGTTGGCTATTTAAAGACATGCTTTTACTCAGCCCAACAAATAACCTTGGGTCAATTCGATTTATCCACTCCCATAAAACACTAAAAAAAGTGAGCTGGTGTCAAGTCACTACAAATCCATGGTTTTCAACTATATCATTTTTCTCATCCCTGGTCAATTACCTTCTAAATCCTTGTTATTCCAAAGACCATCACTTTAGTATACCACATTTCAGTTGTTTTTGTCACGTCTTTTAGTAGACTATTATTTCCCAGGGGAAATCTGAGTATGGAAGAAATACAGAAATTGCCTATAAACTCATTCAAATTCTGGGTTTGGTGACTTAAGAGTAAGGGTTTTCTTATTCAACTCTCTTTTAATTCTCTCCTTGCTTCTTTTTGGTTCTATCAGTAAATTATTTAAACACTTATTTTTGTTTCCTTGTATCTTATTGTAAATAAAATCGAAGTTTGGACAAACTTTAAGTGAATCACATTTTTTTAAGTGTTCCTTTTATCCTATTAGTCTGAAATTTCAAATGTTTTCCATGTTTGAACCACAAGAAAATCTTAAGCATCTCAGTGCTTAGGATATTGCTTACTTTTGTGGTAGTTATCATTGTTTTTTTTCTTTTTTAAAAAAACATCACCCAGCACTTTTTTTTGACAGGGTCTTGCTAAGTGTCTAAATTATCCAGACTGTTCAAACTCATGATCCTCTCATCTGAGCCTTTTCAGTAGCTGAGATTATATGCATGAACTGACTTTTCTTGTTTTGTTTAGCACTGTTTATAATTGAGCTAAGGTTACCTTTATAGTCTAATGCAGAAGCAATTTTTGTGAATGTTCCATGAGCACTTTGGTGAAAAGTTTTACACAGAACAGTTATTAGTTCTACATTATTGGATGTCTTTTAGCTGTTCTATTAACCAGTTTTTGCAGTACTTACTATGGATGAGGCACTATGAAATGGATAGCCTTCCACATATTTGCTTTAACAGATCCATCAGACCTACTTCCATAATCTTTAAACTGTACTTGAGAACTATTTGAGTAATATTAAACTTGCTTTGACATGCAATTAGAGATTTCTAAAGACAATGCTGAATTTAGTTAATGAGATGCTTTGGTCTAGAGGGCTTCTTTTACAAGGTAAGGGGCAGAGCTCCCCCAGTCTTTGCCAATTTGTTCTAAGCCTTTAGTGAAATGCCAAATAATCAGCAAATGGTATGGAGTGGCCTTAGGAATGTGTAGTGGGTTACCTACTGGGCAACCGGTAGCACCCAGCTGAACTGACTCAGTGTGGTGCTGGGTGTGGATGGCCCACCTGAGGATTGCTGCCAACAGCGTTAAGAACAGAACAATAGGGAAGATGGTGTACTGTTGATCTGCCTGGAGAAGCTTGTCACACTGGCTTTCCTAATATAAACTCACCTGTTCTCATTGTTAGAGGATCTTGGGTCCTCCCTGCCACTGAGAATGGATTTTTTTAAAAATTTTTTTAAGGGGAGGGTCTGGTCCTTGAATGTGCTGTTCCTGGCTCCAGTGCAATTTCCTCAGCCTGCGGGTACAGGTCCTTCATTCCACTGGTGCACTTTCTAGCTTCCACCTGTGGCATGTCTGCCTTCCCAGTGCAGATTCCTCCTACAGACTTGTATGAGACTGGTATAGGTTCCAGCACTCCAGTTAACTCATGCAGGATATTGCCCTGAGAACCACTCATCAGCTGGGTTCTTTGGATGTCTCGTGTGTTTAAGGATCTGCTTCAGTCTTCTGCATTTCACTTTTTGGGTGAGTACTACAAAATAATGCCCTGAATTACGTATCCTGTATTAAATCTATTCCCCCAACACACAGGGAGATAAGGCCAGCAGATGTGTATTTCAAGGGCCTTGGAAACTTAGTAAGACAATGTCTCTCAAAAAAGATTCGGAATACAGCTCTGTGTGAAGGCCTTCAGTTCAACCTCTTAATACAAGAAGAAAAAATCACTAAGTGCCAAATAAACTAGGTTCTAGGTCTTTGGCATACAAAGCAGGTACCCTTAAACCTTTTAAATTATCTGTGAAGGATCAGGTTTTTTCCTTCATTCTCAATTTATTGCAGACAGTATAAGTGTAAAATAAAAAACACTGCAGCAACATCGAATTGTTGAGTTTACTTTCATCTTCTTAAAGGCAGTGCTGGGGACTAAATCCAGGGAATTGTGCATACTAGGCAAGTGCTCTTCCACTGAGTTATGTATTTCTAGCCCTCTCCCCCTTTTAAAATTGATACCAGAGATCGAATTCACAACGTGAGCTTGCAAGGCTTATGCTGCTGAGCTAAATCTCCAGGCCCTTCCATTTTACTTTTTTTTGTCTTTTTCCTTTTTATTGGTACCGGGGATCGAACTCACAACTGCCTGATTGCAAGGCAGGCGCTTATGCCGCTGAGCTAAATCCCCAGCCCCTTTACTTTTTGTCTTCATCTTTACATGGGCTGGTAATGTAGTGTGCAGATCTCTTTCATGGAGTACTTCTCTACACACTAGCAGACTATTCTGAAACTCTGTATATTTGTGTTACAGGGAGAACTGTGAGCAGATGATAGAGCAGAGAAAGCAAGATGGCCCATATGTGAAGAGCAAGAGATTCTTAAGGGTGTTGTTACGGTTTGTGTCTAGGTGCCCCCACAACCCCAAAGTCTCATGCATAGGTGGCTGGATTTTGAATGTGTGATACTGGGATTGATTTATGGTGCAATAATTGGAGGGTGTCAGTCTACCTGCCCTGAGTAGCTTGGATAAAAATAAGGGATAGATAGAGCTGTGGTTGCCCCTTATTGCTGTGCTTTCTTCTACCTGCCATGAACTATTTCTCCTCAGCAGTTCCTGTCTGCCATGCCACCCTACCCGGGAGCCAGCTGATTATGGACTTAAAACTTCTACAAACTGTGAGCTGAAGAAACCTTTTCTCTCTTAACTTTGGGGAGATATTTTTGTCTCAGCAATAAGAAAAGTAACTAAAACAGGTATAATTAAGTATTTTAGGTCATGGTCTGCCTGAGCTAACTCAGCACAAAGGAATGTACGTGAGGACTCAGGAGACAGTGAATGGCCATGCTGTATAAGAATTATGACAATTTTATTGAAGATGGGATACCACTACTTGTTTCTTCAGTTACTCTAGTCCTCTAATAGGACAGGACAGTAGATAAAGGCACAGTCAGGAATACTAATCATAAGAGCTTTGGCAAATTTATTTGCATGTTTTCTTGCCTCATTAACCTGCAAACGACTGGATTACATTATATATTGGCATGCATGTTTAAGAAACAGCAAGCAAATACTTCAACATTATCTTAAATGAAGCAGAAAAATAAAGCTGTTGAAATGTATTTCAAAGCCAGACTTATGTTTGCATCACGATTCTCTTACTACACAAAACAGAACTAGTAACACACAAGGACACTTAGCATAATGAAATATAAAATATATACACTGCTACACTTTAAGAATAAAATATACCACTAACTTTGAGACTTGGAAATTGACTGAAAATGTTTTTATATGACATAGAAAACAAAAATATATTTCTCTTTATAAAGTTAAGAAGACTGATTTCCAGGAATGAATTTTAAAAGTTAACAAGAAGTTATATCAGATAGTCTAAATGTCTAACAGTATCTTATACTACCTTTCACCTTAAAGCATCTGAGTAACCATGGCCACAACATTCAATAATTCAAACTTTAAATTGCACACTTTATCACTATTACTATGTTTTTTTCTTACCCCTGCAAATGTAGCTTATTACTATTATCTCACTCTATTCCCTCAAGGACCATTCGACACATTTATACTATTCCAGTAATTACCATGCTACCCAGAAAAACAAGCCAACAGTTTATTTAGAATTAAATGAGGGTATGGAATGTAATACAGTACTAGTAAGACATTTAAGATGGGCATAATGGTACTATACACACAAAAAATGAAATTCCACTTGAAAAAAATCACAAAAGAAAAAGCAATTCCATAATTTTAAAGGTATTTCATGCAAAGCACTAAAAGAATAACCTCCAATCCCAGCCGCCCAATAAACAAAAAGCTACCTGAAAATATTGCCATGCTAACATACTAGCCACAATGTAATCATTCATGGAAAAACAATACATCAAATAAGCAATGGATTAGATGAAATAATACAGTTTGCCATTTTGTAAGCTATCAGACCACAATGATTTCAGATGACAACTGCAGATTCGCTCGGGGGTAACATGGGATAAATGTTGAGTGATAAGATATGTAAATATAAATTCCATTAATTCACTTCATCATCTTCTAATTATAAAACTTAGAGAACCTGAAAAATGTATATAAAACTTGGCATACTCCATTTGTGTTCCAAGAAATGACTGTAGCATCATATTTGCAACTAGCAAAGAGCCTGTATAAAAGTACTTCAAGGTCAGGATTTGACTTCTGATAATGATCACAATTTATAACATAGAAACAACTCCAGAAATGCATTTGTTTTGATTTAACTCTCATTCAGCACTCTATGTACAATTAAGGGGTAATAGACTGAATAAAACAGTGAAACGAAGGTGAACTTACATACTGTGTGAAGTCTCACTCACAAAGTGGGTAAAAATCTTTCCTTGACTTTGGAAGGAGCTATAGCCAACAAGCTCTGTATCAAGATACTTGAGTACGCTTCAATGGAATACACAGCTTTAAATTAGAAAACAAGACTGACATTTCAAGGGATAGCTATTTCCTTCACAGCTGCCAAATTGAACCTAAGCCCGGTCACTGTGGAGCAGAAACTCAAAGCATATTTCCAACTGTGCAGAACATCAGGGAGGGGCAACTCGGTAGTCTCACAGCACCTGCCCATTCAGGAGGCCATTTAAGGTCTTTTTTTTTTTTTTTTTTTTGTCTTTTTCGTTTTTATCGGTACCAGGGATTGAACTCACGACTGCCTGCCTGCAAGGCAGGTGCTTATGCCACTGAGCTAAATCCCCAGCCCCCATTTAAGGTCTTGAGACATGATTTTTGGTTGAATTTACCCATGGTGTGCAAACTGGCTATAAATATAATATGACCAAGGGAAAAAAAAAGAACAGATACTCAGTTCCACTTATTACTTTCCCCCCCTGTTTTAGACTTAAGGTAATTAAAACCAATTGGAGAATTATCTTCCCAACTCTGAAATTTAACTTTCTATTTACATTACATGTTAAGAACACCATAATGTTCAAAAGAAGTCTCTAAAAAACAGAAGCACTAATTTTCACACAATGTCACTGAAAAAACTTCAGAACGAACTCTATATAGTGTTTGAGGTTAGAAAAGAAGCTTTTTTGTAATCAGGACTTATCATAATCATAACTTATTTAGAGAGCTCTTTGGAATGTGTATCTCATACATACAAAGGTATCACAAATTAAATCCCCAAAATATTCATAACCTTTCTTAAATGAAAAAAAGATTTCTAATGAGAGATAAATGGTTCCAGCAACAAATTAATCTGATAATTCAGTTTTTCCCAATGAAGTCTCTACTAACATCATAGCCTTGTGAATCAAATATACAGGTCAATCAGGATGATGCAAGGTGAAGTACAGAACAATACATATGAAAAAAATTTTTGTAAACTGCTGCAGTTCTAAAACAGTAAATTTATATTACAAAGGAAAGTAAATAAATATTGGGCTAGTACAAAAGCTCTTATTTACAGTTTTACAAATGAATATGGGTTCAGTGTAAATGCCGTGTTTTAAAGAACACAGTACTGTATTAGTAAAATGAGTTCTATTGAGGGCATTGAGGGAAATGAGTTCCATTAGAATCACTGCATAATGTATAAAAGATTCAAGTTAACTCTTAATAATTTAGTACAGACAAACCCAGTTTAACCTGGAATGGCATCTGTTAAAGTGCTGAAAAACAGGAAATATTTAGAAAACACTATTAAAGCTTTTATCAAGTCAGAATGTTGGACTTCTTTCACATTTTTTACCCTTTTGCCATAGGCCTATGGGCAAGATGAATTTTTTTTCAGCAAAGGAGTAAAACTTTGAGGCCATAGTTACTTCAGTGACTTTAGGTTCTCTGGAATTAGTTTCCTAAAGCAACTATTCATCCATCAATTGTACCTTCAGGCCTCACAATCTGGTAAGTAATTAAATATTCAGGATAAGCCTGGAAAAGAAAAATTAATTCAAACATTGGTTAACACATTTCTTTGAAAGTAAGGAGACCTTCTGTACAGTTTCCTAACCTTTAAGGAAGTCGGCTGTAAATTAGTCTTATAAAATGGTCTAGAGGCATTTTCTCAAAACAGTCCAATCTTCTAAATTCTGTCCCAAGGTCTAGGGTGAGTATTAAATACATGTCTGTTTTTAACAACTAGGTGATTCTGATATCAACCCCTATCCTCACCCCAAATCAAAAAGCTACTTTAGAGCAGCTTTTCACTGGTTCCTTGCCATGAAGAATAGGACAGAATTGTATCTTTTTGCTACATACAGATTAACTATTAAGTTTTATAGACGCTTAAAAAAGAACCCAGTGCAACTGCCAAAATACGAATAGGATATATCAACAGTACTTTTCTGATTCTGACAGTTTTATGAGAACATTCTTATTTTACTGTTCGAGTAGTTTTCCAAGTCTGAAGTTATTCCCAATTTAAAAAAAATCCAGTTCTTAAGGGAATATTGCTTAACAATTTAAGAGATTAGTAAGAAGTTAAAAGTATGGTTTACAATATTTTTGAAGATGAACAAATAAAATTAAATTACCTGTTCTCCTCTATAAATTACATATTCAGCTAATGCTAGGCCATTAACACTAGGCCGACCAGTGACTGAATGATGACCTGGAGGAGAATGTGCCATTTTCATGGCACTGAACTGCAGGAAAGACTTTCCCAAGGTTACCCGGCAGAAGAGCAGCTGCCTATAACACAAAAATGAAAAGATTATCCTGAAAAATTTCAAACACAAGCATTTGTGCACAGTATATGTTTTAAAAAATACATTTATAGACAGTTATGATTGTTTTTATCATTCCACCCTCAAAACAACTTTGTAAAAATGTCTTCTATTACTCCTAGTCATGAAATTGTCAACTGAGTTAATTCTTATTTTAACTACCAAACTTGAAAATTTAAGTAAAGAGATGCAGACTCTACCAGTTTAGCTGTATCTTAGCTGAGAAAACACAAATCATGGCCCAAGAAAAAAGGAGCAGAATGTTTTAGAGGCTTTTGTGGAGTGGCTTGCAAACCTGTACATTTAGTCAACAAAGTCCAGTGGATTCTACCTTCAAAATATATTTCTAATCCATTTGCCTCTAACTTTGCTACCATTAAATCCTAATCAACAAAATTTTCATCTGAATTTTAACATCAGTTTATATGCAGACTTCTTGTTTCTACTCTAATTCCTGTGCAAAATATTTTCCATCCAAGCAATTAGTGATTAAAATGAATGTTAATCAGGCCATGTCACTTTTCTAGTCAAAACCTTTTTGAGGCTGCTTACTGTACTTAGAAGGAAATCCAAATTTTTTCAATGGCTGCAATTCCTCTACTCTAATTTATATTCATTATGCCCCAGGCATTGGCATTTTTCTTCTCCATAAAGGCTAAACTGCCTTTCCTGGTAGATTCCATCCAAATAGTTTTCTCAAACATTTGGAATAGTATCTCTTTTACTACTAGATGTCAACTAACTGACATCTACTAATTTTTCAGTTTATTTGAAATTCCTCAGATATAGCCTTCCTTACCAACAGCTGAAAAGATTATTATCCTACTCTCCTCAGGCATGTGATTGACTTTCCTTGGTTCCAAAGAACCTTTAGTATTACTTCACTGTTTCTTTTTAGAACATAATCAGATTTCAGTGGAAATATGCGAAGGTTTTACAACTGTAGTGCATTAGCTGTGAATTAAATCTCAGCAATTAATTTTACCTCATTTCTCAAGTAATAATGATTATTTTCTTATGATGATTTTATAAATTAGGTCCAAATTACTTGAATGATTTTAACAAGTTACAACAGGTAACTAAAAATGGGAATAAAGTACAAAGTAGTTATTTGATATTTATTTGCTTTCTGAAGGGAATGAGAGTATTTTAATTATATCTCTTCCAGTAGTACTGTTACAAACTGATTATATCACAGTGGGAGGCTATCTCAGGCATTACCATAAATAGATTAGATTTGGCAACTGGATGATGGTGATATAACTTGCTGTGCTGGGGACTGAACCCAGGGTTTTATATATGCTTGACAAGTGCTGAAGCACATAGCTGCATCTCCAGTCCCCATTTTTTTTAAGAGTTCATAGTCTCATAATGTTTAAGTGCTGCAATAAAGTTTCTTTCATGCCCAATGTTACTTTCAATTCAGTTTTTTTTTTTTTAGTATATGGACTGCCAAAGCAAGCAGAACTTAGCTTTTTAAAGCCCTGGATGTTCTAATGAATGAGAAAAGAGAAAGTGCTTGAAATCATGTATGGCCAATATGGGTCATTTGGTAACCACGAGCTATTATAATACCTGGCGAGAGGAACAACAACATAAAACATGTCTCATCTAGATTCCCAGAGCTGTCAGACATGCTTTACCCTTCAAATTTCTCAAAAATGTAACCAGTTCTTAGTTGACTCTTAAAAAAAATAAGAACAACTGATTTCTTACCTGTGACAAATGTAACAAGATCTGTCCTTGTGAACTGGACACCCAGTACCCCCTCCAATTCCATATACATATTGATTGCTTTTGGAAGAGTTTTCAGCAAAATAAATCCCAGCTCCAAACATGCCACCAATATATGCATGCCTTTCGTCAAAGCCTTTATGGATAATTGCATTCACAAAGGGGGACCCTGAAATACACATAAATAGTTAAGTAATTACCATTTTAAAATTTATCTTAGAAGAAAATGCAAAAACCAAGGCTTCGTATATACCAGAAAAGCACTCCATCACCGAGACATACATTTCCAGCACTTGTTAATTGAAGTTGAATTCTGAAACACACACTACCACCAACACCAAAACAGAGCTAAAATAAAAAAGGGTAGCAAGTCGTCAGCCTATTTATGATTGGCTTCCATACTGGGGACTGAACCTGAAAGCTGACCTACAACATCACCCCTTTTAAAACTTTTTATTTTGAAACAGGGTCTCATTAAATTGTCTAGGTTGCTCCTGAATCTATGATCCTCTTGCCTCAGCCTCCCGTGTAGTTGGGATTACAAATGTGTGTATCACATCCAGCTTTGTTTACTATTTTAGAATAAAAAATTCCTAGTAAAAATGTATTTCTAATTGTATTGTAGTTCAGATACCAAAGCAAGCACAGGTTCAAAAACAAAACAAAACAAAACAAAACAAAAACCAAAACCAGATTATTTGATATACCAATGCAAGAAAAATCAAATTTCAGAGTCTGTGTGATATAAATTTTGTAAATAGCAGGCTGAATGCAATCAGGTCTTACAAGCATGTCCGTTATCTATGTCTTTTCTAGATATCATAAATGACCCGAGTAACTTGTCACAGTCTCTTTGCACCAATTTCTCTTCTATGCTTTTTACTTGTCCTTTGGTCACCAGTACACAGATTCTATTTGCAAATACAGCATGTACGCCAGAAAGAAGGGCTTAGCCAAAGAGGAGTATTGTGCGAACTGGGTTAGGGAGGGGAGTAAGGTTGGGGGTTGGGAAAAACCAAACTAATACCAGCTCAATGATTTATCATAAACATCCACCAAAGAACAGGAAAATGTGGGACTGATACAAGTAATATGCTTAAAAGTTTGATAAACACGATATTAGTATTATATTTAATGTTATCGTAAGCTTGAAACAGCAACCAACACCTGCCAGCTTGTGACATAAAAAAACCAATAAATTTCTGAAATGGTATGTTAACAGTGCTCTCATTTTGACCAAAGCTACCAGTAATGTCCACAGGTCCAATGACAATGGCCCTTTCAACACTTAAGTGGTTTTGAAAATCAGAACAGAGTGCATCCATTCTTCATAGGTGATTTCTATGCCTCACATCAACTGAATCTGCTGCTTAAAACTAAAATCTAGTTTCCTAGAATTGTCCACATCTTTTTTTTGACTTTTTGAAACAGGGTCTTACTATGCAGTTCAGGCTGGTCTTGAGCTCACTTTGTAGCTCAGACTGGTCTGAATTCTCAATGATCCTCCTACCTCAGCCTTCCAAATGCTGGACTTACAGGCATGTGCCACCATGCCCGGCTTTCTTGGAACTGTTGTAAGAAGGAAAATCTATACAAAGAAGTTGAAAATATGAATATAAATGTAAAACTTACAGAAGGTTTACTAAAAGTTACATGAGGTTTATTTAAAAAATCTATATAGAGATTATTATTTCATGCCTGCCCCAAATCTATCCTAATGTGGACAATAGTGGTAAAGATGATGGAGTTGGGACTGTACCATGAAATAGCATTCTTTCATTTGCATGGTTGTGGTTTTCTTCAGAAACTTCTTTTCTCCGATGAGTGTATCTTTCCCATAGTTTCTTGTTACACACCTTCTGAATCTACATTAAAAAACAAGAAACACTGAGTCTTTAAGTATAATTACAACATAATAAGGACTACCTATTTACCCAGCAGGTAACTGAAACTTTTTAAAAATATAAAATGTATCTCATTTTAGTCAACTAAAAATACTATGTCCCAAAAATTAAACAAAGTATGGCTACATCTTAGAAATCAAAACTTTCAAAGAGAAAAAGTTAACACATGGCCATTCAAGGAGTCAAGAATGTGATAAACTAATTAAAATACTTCAATTTTAAAATTACTTAAAATTAAGAATACTGCTAAATTAATAAAATATGTTCTAAGCAAACATGCTGAGTTCTGGTGAAAGAGAATAGTATCCTTTCCTCCCACTTTATCTGGGTTCAAAGTACCATGTTTGTTGTTAGTAAAAAATACTTGAAACAGTTATACAATACTTCCTTAAAAACTCATATTCTCTCATTATTCTTTTTGCCCTCCAATTACTAAAATTTATGTATGAAAATGATTTAAAGCTAGTTGCTGGTCTCATTAAGAGTACTTCTACAGTCACAATTCCAGGGCTGTTTCCTAGTTGTGTTTAAAGATGCTTTATCTTCCTGGTAGTTTACTGGTCCCTAGAGCATACCAGGGAGCTGGTTAGTTTTAGTTTTGGCTCAAAATATTGCCACAGATGTGTAATCAAGGGCCATAACTGGCAAAATCAGAACTCTTTTGTATACATAAAAGGAACAGAAATAAAACCATTTTTGATGTACCTTGAGACCTTAATGTTAGGTGAAATAAATTAGACACAAAAGCTGCATGATCTCTGTTATATGACAGACCCTAAGTATGAATAATTTAAAGAGCAAAGTAAAAGATAATAGGAAACAGGGAGATACTACAGGTCTTTTACAAATAGCAAGGAAACCAAGAGAAGGGAAGGCAAAAAGAATCAAGACATATCATGTATATGTACCAATGCCCCATAATGAATGTAATCATTATGCACTATGAATATATACTAGCAAAAATCTAGAATTAAAACAAAGAAAACCCATTTTATCACTAAATTTTTATTTAATATTACATGAAACACTTTTATAAAGGAAGAGCCTACCTTTCTCAAATCCAACTACAGTACTCTAGATATCAAACATCCTTTACAAATCTCCACACCAATATAATCCCTTTACTTGAATCTAAAACATCTGATTTTTAAAAATTTTTTATCTTTTCATTATGAATCTCAAGTATGACTACAGTTTTGATTGCTACAGCTCAAGAAAAACATAGCAACATTGGAAAAGTCCCCAAATCAGTGAGATAACACGAAATAGAATGACTCAAAATATGTATGTTTGTTTGTGGTACTGGAAGTTGAACACACAGGCCTCATATTGAGCTGTATTCCTCAGTTCTTTTTTTCGAGGCAGGGTCTTCCCAATATCCACAGGTAGAATGTGGACTGGTGATCCTTCTGCCTCAGCCTCAATGATAGAATTAGTGGCATGAGTCATGACTAGTTGGTTATTTATTTGTCTTTTTGAGATAGGGTCTCATTATGCAGTTTGCGCTGGCCTTGAGCTCACTTTGTTTCTCAGGCTGGTCTCAAACTTGAAATTATCTTTCTGCTTCAGCCTCCCCAGTGCTGGGGTTACAGGTATGCACCACCATGCCCAGCTCCGTGACTGGCTTTTTAAAAACTTTAGTACTGTTCTCACTACATTGCCTAGCCTTCTAGAGTGCTGGGATCACAGCCACATGTCACCACAATCGGCTTCAAAACACTTTCAAAAGATGAGTGTGAAGGTACATGCTTATAATCCCAGTACTCTGGAGGTAGAGGCAGGAGGATCAATGTGAGTTTGAGGGCAGCCCAAGTTACACAGTGAGTTCAAGGCCAGCCTAAACTACAGTGAGACCCTGTCTCAAAACAAAAACACAACCCAGAAAAGAAAACTTTCTTTTTTTTTTAATTGGTATCGGGGATTGAACTCACAACTGCCTGCTTGCAAGGCAGGCGCTTTTGCCACTGAGCTAAATCCCCAGCCCCTAAGAAAATACTTTTAAAAGACTGGTTTTTGAAAAAGAGATTTGGTATATTAAAGTTTATAAAAAGGTAAAATGTCTGGCAACTCCCAGGAGCCTGTAGTAGTCAGGCATTTAAAAAAAAAGCCCCAAACCAGGCATGCTGGCACTCACTTATAGCTTATAGTCCCAGTTACTAGGAAGGCTGAAGTAGAAGGATCTTTTGATGCCAGGAGTTAAGGCCAGCTTGGGCAACAAGGTGAGACACTGTTTTAAAACAACAATGAAAAAGTAGAGTATCATAAAAAGAGTCCTTTTATAAGAGGCAAAAATGACGTTTTTTCTCTTAAAAGCAGATAAATAATATATCTTTAAAGTCTTTACCCTACAGAATTCATCATTATCCTACTATCCAGCATAATTATGAATTTGAATGTTAAGACAAAGGATTATTATCGAGTTATTAAAAATAGTACTTGAATTTTAGGAATCTTAGCCTTTCAATGATGTATTTTTACCTAAACAGTTTATAAAGCCATGTTGATGAGGTACTGGGCTGGAAGATTAGGCTCTTCCTATGAAAGTTACTCACAGCTTTAGGTTTTGGAACCTTCAGTGTGTGTGAACTTTTCACTCACTTATTACCTTAAGAATATTGTATCTGTTGAAGATGCCACCTGCATGACCTCCATCTCTGTGTTCTCGGACTGTACTCTGCATCTGATGGAAAACCATATGTGCATTAGTTCTTATATCTTATCTTACCTAATTTGTAAAACATAGCTATTGATTCATTTTATTTACTTATTTGTTTCTTGAGACAGGAGATAGGAGCTGCTATGTAGTGCAGGCTGGCCTCAAACTCTTACTGATCTTCCCACCTCGGCTTCCTGAATGCTGGGATTATAGGCGTGTGACACCATGCCCAGCCCTGATTGTATTTTTGAGAATACAAGACAGGTTTTAACTTTTTTGCTGTTGAAAGTATACAAATTCTATAAAATTGTAAGTATTACTTTCTAGCAGTGGCCAGCTGTCATCCTAAAGGTAGTTTTAGGTGAAAATCATACAAGGCAGACTAAAAGAAAAATGGGAATTCAAGGTGAAATAAACATCCAAAGCTAACCACTTGACACATTACGAATTTGTACCTCAGTACTGTAGTAGCTGGCTGTGCCTCTCAGAACCTTTCTTGGAGGGATATATGAAGCAGTCTGTGTGTTTACACACTTGGTATAACAAATGGAAAGGAGTATGCACGTGTGCAAATGTTAAAATGGGATTAGGACCTACCTTTATGCTCTGGTTTTGTATGTGTTTAGCCAAGCATCAGAGAGGGTCCAACAGACCCATACCACTACAGGATTTGTTAAAAAAAATTTTCCTTTTGATTTTTCTGGTAGAAGTAGCCCAATTCAGTATAATGCCACATGAAAAAATCAGATTTATAAGTTTCAAAAGAAGTAAAAAATGAACCAACACTCATGCATGGATGAAGATGATTCATGATGGTAAAATGCATTGTTTTACAACAGAAAAGGGGTATGGATGTATGATGCTGCTGCTGCTGCTGACTTTGACAATGGTCATGTGAGCCTATGTTTCTGTGACAACTAAATGGGGCAAAACTGATACAGACACAGGAAATGCAGACTTCCTTGATTCAGATGATCAAGAAAGCAGCAATGTGAGTGCATGCTTGACTAGTCAAAATGTTGCAAAATGGCCACACGACCAAATGGAATGATCCACTGTTAGAACTAGGTCTGAAAATATAGTGAAGATCTTGGCAGGGGTAAAACTTATCAGATAGAATACCAGCACTGCCATTTAATGTTGGAAATGCTGCACATGAAACGTAACAGATGAAATGCTGCAAGATGCTGTGAACTATACAATGGGTGAAATGCAAGTAAAATATTTTATAGTACCTATAATTATATTCAAAAATATATGTATTATGATACCTCACTAGCTGAACTGAAAGCACTCATAGGCCTGATGCACTTAGTACAGATTTCTCATGGTGATTTCAAGAATGTAAGGCTTATGAAAAAGCAATTTGCAAAATGTGGCATAAAAATTTATACCCTAGCAGATGCAAAGACTTACTGTCCTTTCACCTTAGACATTTATCCTAGAACTCAACCATTAGGTCCTTATTTTATTTTTTTGTGGTACCAGCGATTGAACTTACAACCTTGCACTTGCCAGGAAGGCGCTTATGCTACTGAGCTAAATCCCCAACCAGGTCCTTATTTGTATAGTAAAAAACCAAACGATGTTGTGAATAGACTTGTTGCTCCCATCTCACAAAGTCATTGGAATGTGACATTTGACAGTTAGTTTACCATCTTCTTATTGATGTTACATTTGTTAAGAGAGCACAAGTTGACCGATGAAGGAACTGTATACAGGAGCAAAGCAGAAATCCCAAATGAAATACTGCAATTTTAAAACAGAGAACTGTACAATACAATTTTTGAATTTCAGAAAGACATAATCACATATGGTAATGAAAAGCAAACTGGTACTGCTGATGTCAACATTTCGCCGTGATGGAAATACTGACAGGGAAACTTCGACGAAACAAAGTCTGAGATGGAAATTTTCAACAACAAATGTGAAAATGGAATAAATGTTTTTGATGAGTTATGCAGTAACTGTGATGTCACCTTAAACACACAGCACTGGCCAATGATTGTGTTTAAGACATCACAGTGAAATTTGTTAAGAGGGTTGGGATTAGAAATCATAAGAGATCATTTACAGCAGAGGAAAAAGAACATGTTTCTGTCCAAGGAACTACACAAAAATTTGCATAGAACACTAGTAAACAGAAAGAAGAACCCAGGAGAATAGGAAGGTACAGCATCACAAAGATCTACTGTGACAACAGGAAACCAAAAATGATACCAACTATGCCCTACAAGAAAGTACAAAACAAAACATATGTGCTCTCAGTGTAAGTGATACTTGTGTATGGAACATGCAGTTGTCATGTGTGAAGACTGTCTTGGGTTATGACAGCTGAGCAAAGCTTATTTCTACTGGTAGAGTTCTACTAGTATTTTCGCTGTAGTTCATTTAAGAATTTATTTGTGATTTTATCTTCTAGGTTTTCTAGGCAAGTACACACCTGATGTGAAAATGTTGGTATCTATTCTAAATGCATACATATTGAACATTTGATAAGTTTATTTTATTGATATTTTATATTCCTGTTAACTATAAACTGTATAATAAAAACCTGACAAAACAGCAAAACTATTGAGATGTCAAGTATGTTCTACAAAAAGGCCAAAAAAAAGATGTGTTGTCAGTGTAAGTGATGCATGTGGATGAAACATGCTGCTGTCATGTGTGCAGACTGCCTTTGCTGCGATGACTAAACATTTGTAGAGTGCTATTGATATTTTCATTGTAGTTCATATAGGAATTTATTTCTGACTTTTTAAAATTTGCACACCAAAAATCAATTGATGTTGAAAATTTTGATGCATTTTTTAATTTTAAATCGGTACCAGGGATCGAACTCACCACTGCACACTTGCAAGGCAGGTGCTTATGCCACTGAGCTAAATCCCTAGCCTCTTTTCTTTTTTTGTCTTTTTTTTTTTTGTACCAGGGATCGAACTCACGACTGCCTGCTTGCAAGGCAGGCGCTTATGCCGCTGAGCTAAATCCCAGCCCCTTGATGCTTTTTTATAAACAATAAATACTTAGCACTTAATTTTTGTTATTTCTTCCAGTTAAGTGCTCATTTAATATAATGAAACTCATAAAATGAATAATTCATTCATAGAAATATCCCAAGAATAAACCTGGGTCTGACTGAGACAGACAGATTCAAGTTTATGCTCCAAGTTAAAGTGTTCTTTAAAGTGGCAAAGTTGAGTGGAGTGTCACATGACTGTAATCTTAGCATTTGGGAGGGTGAGGCAGAAAGACTGCTGTGAGTTTGAAACCAACCTTGGCTACACAGTGAGTTCAATGTCAGTCTGAATTTCAACGAGACCTAGGCTGTGGGTTCCATCTCCAAAGCACAAACACACCAGTAAAGTGTAAGAAGGGCATCATTCAAAGATTTCAGTTAATCCAAGGGTTCTTTGGAAATAACACTAGAATAAAATTTTCCTGGATAAATAGTGTTTATACATTCTAACTCTTCTTGAAGATTCTAGAACCCCATGAAAGATGGGAACAATTTCATGGGAAAGATGGGAACAATTTCATTATCTCTAATGACATAAACCTACTCTCCAACACGATGCCGTGTTTGATATGTGCCTTCTGATTGTCAGATAAAATATAGGATGCCTCTTTAAATTTGAGTTTCAGATAAACAATGTTTTTTTTAGTATAAGTATGTCACTATATGGCTGTGGGATGCTGTTTCCAATTCTTCTGGGAAAATATTCAGAAGGGGGATAGCTGGGTTGAATAAGACCTTTAATCCTAGTTTTGTGAGGTATCTGCATGCTGATTTTCACAGTGATTGCACCAGTCTGTATTCCTAGCAACAGTGAAGGATTCTTTTTTCCCCATAGCCCCACCAGCAAGTTATTGGTTGATTTCTTGATGACAGACATTCTTTGTGAAGTGAGATGGGATCTCCGTGTTGTTTTTAATTTGCATTTCTAGAATGATTAATGATACTGAACATTTTTTGATATATTTGTCATTTGTATTTCAACTGAGAAGTGCATATTGTTTTTCTAATGTAAAAAACTGAAAGTTAATTAAGATCTAAAATGTACAACAGTTATTGTGAAAGTGAAAGGGGAAGAAACTGCTCAAAAGGAAAGAACAACTGGGATGGGAAAGGAGAAAAGAAAGACAGGAAAAGATTACAAAAACACATACAAGATAATCATACTACTAATCTCTTCATTGAAAAGAATGGTTTGTGCTTTCCTTGATCAATTTTTCATGCCTACATCTTATAAGCTGAGCAACAACTTTGAAGATAACAATATGCAATATATTAACCATTATTAATTTGCTATTTTGTTTTGAAATTCTGTATCAGTTATTTTTTCTTTTTAAAATAAAATAATAAAAATACTGATAAATAGGTTAAAAAATACATCACATTCAATATTTGGGACATACTTAGCCTAAAAATTTTTTATTTGAAATGCAAATTTAACTGGGTGCCCTGCATTTTTATTTGTTAAACTTGCCAATACTATTTGTTTATAAGATTTACTATTGCTATGGAAAATTTTATCTAAGTCATGCATTGCTCAATGATGGGACTATATTCAGAAAAATGTGTCACTAACTGACTTTGTCACTAGCCAAACTTCATAGAGTACTTATATAAACAAAGACAGCTAGCTATGAACCACTAGGCATTACAATTTTATGGAACCACCACTGTGCATGTAACCTGTCTTTGACCAAAATGTCATAATGCAGCATATGACTGTGTATTTTTGCATACCTTAACATAGTAGAATACAGTTTTTAGTATATCTAGTTTTCTACATCTTAGTAAGTTTAACTTTAATCTAAATCTTTAAAATAAACTTTTAATTAGCAAATTTAACGACACAATGAATAAATAACATCCAGGAACAGGAAAAAAAAAAAAAGAATTTTATGTCAGTGTTACCTGTAGTGAACCAAGTAACCAGAATTAAGGTTTATTGAAGGAGTACTCTAAATTTTAAAACCACACTGCATGTCTACCAATCTGGAAACTTGCAGAAAATTTAGGAAGTGAATGAAAAATACATTCAGCTAATCTATCTTTCCCATTTAGGGAGTGCAAACATACCTCTTCCTCCACGGATTGAAACTCTTTATCATCAGGAGATAGATCTATGAGAATTGTTCCACTACCAGGATTGTTCAAAGTCAAATATGGGTTAAGACCTACAAAACAAAATTTGAAGGTAAAAATATTTTGCCAATCAAACACAACCAAAAGTAACCACTCGATTTATGGGATGCTTACTACCAAGTTTTACTATTCTCTCTTTTTTGGTACTGGGAGTCAAACTCAGGGCTTTCCGCTTGCCAGGCAGGCACTGTGCTGCTGAGCTACATCTCTGGTCCTTACTACTGGTTTTAAAAAACATTAAATTTTAGAATTGTTCAGATTTACAGGATGGCTGAATGCATAGAGCATTCCAGGATACTCTCCACCCAACATCCTCTTTGGTTACATCTGTCATATTTACATTTTACTTGAATTTCAGTAATTTTGTCCCTTTTTCCTCCCTAGGATACCACACTGCATTCAGGCTATTAGTTTTTTTTTTTGTCTTTTTCCTTTTTATCGGTACCAGGGATCGAACTCACGACTGCCTGCTTGCAAGGCAGGTGCTTATGCCGCTGAGCTAGATCCCCAGCCCCAGGCTATTAGTTTTTGATATGACAAAGTTTTAAGGGTTTTGCAACAATATTTCAGAAAATCTTTATTTCCTGTTCTTACTGTGTTTATAACTCATTTTTTCCCCTTGAAATTACTTCCTCTACTACTTTTTTTTTTTTTTTAAGTACTGGGGATTGACCCCAGGGCCTGCTATATAACTAGGCAAGTTTTCTACCATGGTTATACCCCAAGCCATTTTAAAATTTTTACTTTGAAACAAGGTCTCATAAATTTCAGAGGCTGGGCTCCAACTTATGATCTTTTTGCCTCAGCTTCCTGAGTAGGTAGAATTATGGTGGTGCATCACTATGCTCAGCTTCTGTCCTTTAATTTCTGCAAGGTTGCCAAATCCCTGTTTTCTTAGGTAGGAGGCCATAGTGCTGAGTGAATGCATTAGAGGTTTGCCACTGGAGATTAAGAGCATCATTATACGTAGTACCACTACCAAGTCAGACTCTGAAGTCTTGGAGGAATGTTTGATTACAACGTGTTTAGGAATTATGGAGATCATATGCAGTACTATAGAGTAAAGATAACAAATGCTTGACTAAGGTGTGTGCAACCTATCAATATGTTTATCAATATGGAAAGATTACTAGACTTAATACACTGAATAGTCAAACAAGACAAGACTTCCAGATGATTTGCAGTATAGGCAGCTATCGGTTCCTCTTTGCAAATGAGGTTTAGGTATAGAATCTTGGCTTCAAAGAAGATGAAAATGGTGGTAACTTTAGGTAGGAACCTGACCCTAATGTGTCAGAAAAGACAAAACCATTTTGCTTCTGGACCATGTTTTTCCTACATGTAGAGATGAATGCTGCTCCTCCTATCCTTCTGGAGCTGAACATACAAGAATTAAAGGACTAGAGGTGACAAGAAAGTACCTCTGCCACTTGGGAGCAATGTAAACTATTTCTGTCTTTGTTTTCTGAGACTTTCAATGCATTCATAATAACTAGGATGTGTTTAACTGTACAAACTCAATTTGCTTTCCTTTTTTCAGTAAACTTTTTTCTGAAAGACCTGTTATCTCAGTACTCAATTACAACTGCTATCACACAAGATGGATTAGTAGTGCATTAGTCACAATGGTAGTCCACAATTAGGGTTCTGTTTCTTCATCTTTTATGCTATTTATACTGTATGCGAATATTCCAAGGAATCGTAGTTTTCTCCTCTTTTATAAATTTTTTTCATCTAAACCAGACACAGCCAGGGTTTACCTTACATTTTAAGCATTCTGCTTTAGTTCTACCAGTCAAGGAAAGTATATTTACCTTTAATTGATTGTATTCCACAACACCAGTTAAAAGTGTTCCTTGGCATGAAATCATATTTATAGAGGTACTTTTCTTTCTCCAAGAAGTAGATTCCATCCTGGCTAGCACATAGTATTTCCTGAAAACTCCTTCACTTTTGCTAATGAAGGTTTCTTTTCAGCCACGTTGTAGGGCTATGACTTCAATTACAGCATGCTTTTAGTGTCAGGGTAAACCATAAACTACTCCCTTAGTTTACCAAGGAAATCAAAATTTTTTAACAAACAATTCACCATTTAATGCCATCTCTTGAATGACTGCAATTTGCATTTTCCTTAACCACTAACTTGAAAGAGGAATAAAAAATTATCAAACTGTTTGAATTTCATAAGTTACAACCTTATTCTTTTCTACTATTTTCATTCTAAGTGCTTAGAATTTTAGCTATGTAGGAGACAACTACATGATTTTATGGGCTAGCCTAATACCTAATCATTATCTACTATATTAGCATTAGAAATGAGACATTTAAGTTTCAACTGTTTTAGAATCACAACATTTGAGAACGAAAATAACTTCAAAAATTATCTAATTTCCCCATTTTCAGAAGTTAAGACAACCCTCAAACTTTTGAAAGGCCTTGAAATTTTACTCAGGTTCATACAGTCAACACCAGCCACTCAGGAAGTTTAACTTGGGCCTTGATCTCAGGTTTCCCCAAGCTGCATTAGGTTCCTCCTATTCTCTCATACAGACTTTTAAATTATCATTTAACATCACAGCCAAGATTCTATACCTAAACTGAGGGCTGCTTTTGTGTAAACTCACTGATAACAGCAATTATTAAAACAAATACCTTGTTGTCCAGAAATAAGTCTTTCAACTCCTTTAATTAGCTTGTGTCTGTGTCCATAAGCATTGATTCCAATCTCCTTTAGCTCCTTGTGCCCCATCTCAACTAACACATCCAAAGTGATCTTACAAAAGAGAATGAAACTATTAGGTTCATATGTCAAATTATTTTGAATAGTTTTCATAGGAAAAACTCATTTGTGAAACTGAAATTAACTAAAAATGAAAAGTTTATCACTGTTCAAATTAACCCTTTCACTTAAAATATTTGCACTTCATGAAATTAAAGCTTTTTGACCCTGTTGTATTTATGTACCTTCCATGGAGCTATTCCTAAACAGTTTAGTTCACAAGTAATTTTTTCCTTCTTTTAATTTCTAAAATCTATACACAAATTCTAATTCTTTGTATGTTCTTGTTCAAGTCCTGTAACTACACTGAAGGTTCCTCTGGAACCAAGTCTACAGTAACTGTATTTTCTAGATAAAAACAACGATGAAGATATCACCACCACCACCAACTTCCCCAGCATTAGTAAGTAGCCACATGCAAATACATGCCTACATTCCCAGCACTCAGGAGGCTGAGGCAGGAGGATCACTGGAAGTTCAAGGTCAGCCTGGCTACATACTGAGTTCAAGTCCATCCTGCACTGCACAAGATCCTGTTTCAACACACACACACACACACACACACACACACACACACTCAGGAAATGTATTCTGAGAGACAACTTTCAACTAAAACTACCATAAAAGCCCAGATCTATGGCTGACATATTTGTGCACCGTCTTATAGCAGCTAGCAAAGTATCATGGTAGTGACTAACGAAACAGAACTGAAGGAAGAGAGCTCAAGGATAACTTATTTAAAGGAATAAGATAAACTTGAAATTCAAGAAAGCTAATTTATTACTATATGAGTTAATTTTTATGATCTAATAAATTCCAAGATCAATCTGAATTAGATGAGTGACTATTGTCTAGTATCTTAAGCACTAAGAGACGGGAGGGTTAACTCCATTGGGAAAGCACATGTGCGCACAACAAGTTACAGGTTGGAAGGGATCTCAAGTATGTCCTAAATTTTCTTTGGGTTTGGATAAAACACAAAACAGGGCAATACAATTCACTTACCTGTTCTCTCTCAAATATATCCATTAAGTGCTCAAGTCCAAGATTCCTTACAAATTGAGTTATGCTAAAATCTACTCCTGGAGTAGGGGAAAAATACAAAACAAAATTTCACATTAGAACATGTATATCAACACTGTAATAAAGTTTTGTGCTGTTACTATATGTATGAAGAAAATAAAAATGAAACAAAGTGTTATGTTAACACCCAACTAGGACAGAATACTGAATATAACATCAAAAATTACAAATATAGGGGGTGCAGCTGCACACTTATAATTCCTGCTATTGGGGGGCTGAGGTTGAGGTAACCTAGCAAGACAAAAAACAAAGAACAGAACAAAACATAAAAATCAGGCAAGGTGGTACAAGCCTTTAAACCTAGCACTCTGGAAGGCTGAATATGATGCACAGTTTGAGCCCACAGTGAATAATAGCAAAAATCTATTTTAACCACTGAACAGTTTAGCCAGAGTGTCACCCAGGCAGTGCATTTGTTTACGTACTGACTACTACTAGCCACTGCTTGGACAGGTGTCTCTTCAACCAGTTGATTCTTCTATTGAACTCAATTTGGTAAAATTGTCATTTTTGTATTTCCTGTTACCTTATAAAATTAATGAAAAAATATGCAATTTTTGGTCATACTGGACCAGTAAGTTGTTAAAAATTACGAGATACATAAAATTTTAACATTAGAGAAGACAGTTATCCAATGGGGGCATTCTTCTGTTAAATTTATCATTTTTTTATTTTAAACTTTTAACTATGCTCTTTAAAATCAGTCATTTTCATAGGTGAAGGCAAAGACTTTATAAACAAAACCCCAGTTGCATGAGAAATATTACAAAGAATTAACAACTGGGATCTCATCTTATTAAAAAGCTTTTGTGGGGCCTAGGATATAGCTCAGTGGCACAGCATCTGCCTGGCAAGTGCAAGATCATGAGTTCGATTCCTAGTGTGTGTGTGTGTGTGTGTGTGTATAGCCTTTGCACAGCAAAAGAAATCACCAGCAGAGTGATCAGACAACCCACAGAGTGGGGAAAAGTTCTGCCAATTGTTCCTCAAAAGACTAATATTTAGAAAATACAGAGAACTGAAAAAAAAAAAAAAACCTCCCCCCAATTTAAAAATCCAATCCACAATTAGGCATCTGAGATAAATACATAGTTCTCAGATGAAGAAATACCAAAAGAAATAAATACATGAAAAAATTTCAATATTACTTGCTGAATGAGAGATGCAAATGAAAGCAATGCTGAGGTTCTAACTCATTCCAGACAATATGGTTATTATCAAGAACCAACCAACAACAAACTCTGGCAGGGGTGTGGGGAAAAAGGAACCCTTCTTCATTGTTGGTAGGAATGCAGACTGGTGCAACCACTGTGCAAATCAGTGTGGAGATTACTCTAAAAACTATGACCATAGACCCTGTTTGATCCAGCTATGCCCCCTTCTTGGTTACATTTCCAAAAAATTAAAATCATCATACCACAGAGATATATGTACATTCATGTTTGTGACTGCAGTTTGTAATAGCTAAATCACAATTGAGTATTTACTTAGTCATAAAGGATAAACTTGAGACATTTATAGCTAAATGGATGGAACTCCTAAGTGAAATAAATAAGACACACGTGTATAAATATCATACTGTCCTTCTCCTGTGAGAAACCGAAAGTAGGAAGTCAAAAGTAAAACAAATTATGTAATAGGGAGAAACTGTTCAAAAGGAAAGGGAAACTGGGAGGTGAGGGGGAAGGAAGGAAAAGAAAAAAAAGGAAAATAAAGCTTTGTAAATAAGGAAGAGAAGAGGGATTGGAGGGGAGCGGAATGGAAAACAAGAGGAATCAAGATGTATCATGTTCAGGTAGAGGTACAGCTACAAATGAATGTGACCATTATGTTTATCTAAGTTGTACCAATAAATTTAATTAAAAAATTAAAATCAGTTGCTATCTTCCAGGACGTAAGCTCCTATGCAAAAAAGCTTATGAAAAAAGTTCCTTATTATTGCGTTAGGGTAAGGATAATTTTGACACGTAAAAAGTTTCTATCTCAAGTGCAGGTCAGCAGCACGACTCACCAGCTTTCTACACAAGAAGAGAAAGTTTTATTACAAATTCTATTACTAATGCTAAGAAAACCACAAAAGGCTAACACTTAGACTATGTTAATTAATGTGATAGTAGTTTTATTTAAGGTTAAAAAAATGAGTTCTTAACATTCTGAATGACAAATATGGGATTGCAATATCAGTAAAAAAAAAAAAAGAGTTACTTTAACAGAATCTCTTACCTTCCTTTCTTTCTAAACTAGAAGTACCTTCTGTTCCACTTGAGTTAACTACTGAAGACAGTTCAGAAAAACTCCCAGATAAGTTGTCAAGACTGCTAGCTGCAGAAAGGCTTGATGGGCTAGATGGACCTGAGGACAGAGAATCTGCAGTGGCTCCTGAGCTTCTTACACCGTTGAGCACTTGAGGTTTGTAACATGAAGGCAGAGCAGATGGGGGCATGGCTGCTGTCAGGAGAGCACTGACATCGTCTGCCTAGGGCATATTTCAGATTAAATCTGTCATAAGAACATCTCTTCCATATCTCATAATCAAAATAAAACTCAAATGTTATTAAAAAAAAAAAACCAAAACAAAAAAACAACTAACTTTCATACCATAACTGAAAGGGACTAAAATAAATCAGAAATATCAATTTTTTCTTGGAGATTGGGTTTTGCTATGTAGTTGAGGCTGGCCTTGAACTCAGTATTGTAGCCCAGGCTGGCCTTGACTTGTGGTAATTCACCTGCTCTGGTCTCTCAAGTGCAGAGATTAAAGTGTGCACTGTCTGACAGAAATATCAATTTTAACAGGGAGGGGTGTTTACCCTATGGTGACTCTGAAGTAAGCAATTAAACCTACAAGGGAACTGAACAAATGAAATTACGTTTACTTGGAAAATATTCAGTGATATATTTGTTCCTCAACATTGGGATAAAATTTTTTGACAAAAAAATAATTTTCATCAAATCTTCCAGAACAGAAAAAAATCTGCCCCAGATACTGGTACTACTAAAAGTATTTTTACTAGTAACGAATAGTAAGTTTTCCCAATGCTCAATTAAGATTCTGAATAACTCAGAACGAAAGAAATCACTATTTGTTTTCATGGGTAGTCATTTGTAGTGCCTACGCCAATCTTCACCTTTCTTCCCCCTCAATCAGAACATTCTTACGGCACTCATAATTTTTATATAATATTTGTACCATTTATTTGATCTTTGTTATGTATCTAATACCATGCCAAGGATTATATCACCTTCTGTAATTCTCATATTGACTGGATATATTTTATGTCTTATAGATACAGATCTAAGAGAGTTAAATAACTTTTAAAATTAAACAAGTGTAAGTTAGCAGACCTGGAATTCTATACCAGGTCTATTTCACTCTAAAGCTCATTCATGTTCTCCAAAGCATTTTGTTTCCCTGTCAATTAATTCTATCTGGTAAATGAAAATAGGGTAGAATGAATCCTAAAAATTTACTTCTAAGGTAGTGTGGACTGCAAAGATACGCCCCTGAAGAAATAATGCTCAAGTATGGTAGGGTTGTCAGCCAGCTGAGAAAAAGCAATAAAATTCTAAATGCAGCCAAACTAAATCAGTTTCTCACTGTAGCTTAAACAACAAAATCTCTTTCAGTACAAACGAGTTTGTAGAAGAGATTCTCCTTCCTTTCATCTTAGTTTGTTTTCATTTTCCTTTATTGCTCTGGCCAATATCTTAAGTGGTAGAGGTAACAAAGCAGAGTGAAGAGTAAAACGGAGGTTCTTACATGAGATTCAGTGGAAGGGTAAGGGAGGGAAAAAAAAAAGTAGGAGGCTCCCTGAAAAGGACTCTGCTATATCAGGCTTCTTTGTGGTTGGTTATATTGTTAGGGCAATGTTCCTATTGAGGCAAGTTGATTATGTGTATTATCTTGTATTACATACATTCCAACAGTTTTCATGGAGGACTTGTGTTTGTCTTAGTCCTTAACAGAACCAAATATAAACAAGTGTAGTGTTATTTTTCCTATTTTCACATTATTTAGTAAATGATAACTGACTCATACTCTTTTTACAATAACAAAGACATCCTTAAGACTGGTATAAAATCTAGATTTTTGCCATATTTAGTATGAAGACATGACATGTCTATTGAATGAATTTTAAAGGGTCAAGAAAGCATTGAAGTTTTTCATAAAGTGCATCACTTACTGAAACCAAATCTAAAGGTGTTTGTCCTTCCTGATTTTTAAGAGTAGGATCAGCTCCGTGGGCCAATAATAAAGCACAAAGCTGTGTCCGGCCCTTTTGGGCTGCTTCATGCAAGGGTGTGAAAGCCCATTTGTCCGTGGCATTGACACATGCATTATACTTTATTAGTAAAGCTGCTACATCTACATGCTGGAAAAGAAAATACTCTCATTACAGTCTGAAATATTATTTTACCCCATTTTAGTTCTTAAGAAACTAGCTCTGTAACTACTTCCGTACTTTTAAACTTGTTCTGAAAATAAATATTAAAAGTTTTTTCTCCCATTATAGAGAGCTGCTTAAAACTTAAAGATACTTAAAAAAATCAAAAAATAGTTAAGAATTTTACTTAACAGAAACTAAACTAATATACCTTTTTAAAAAAATTTTGTTGAGACAAGGTCTGGTTTTATAGTTCAGGCAGATCCTGAACTCACTATGTAGCTCAGGCTGGTCTTGAACTCACAATGATCCTCCTGCCTCAGTCTCCTGAGTACTGGGATTATGGCACTAACATACCTTTAATGATTTTTAACTTACAAGGATAACTGCTAAAAATCAAGTTTTAAACTAGCAGCACTTTTCAGTTATTCAAACTATACTATTCGTAACAGTCAATACTGATGTTAACATTCAAGGATAAATTTCAATCTTTACAGAGTCCTGTGAAAATAGGTTTTAACTTGTGTACCAGCAAATAAAACCACCAATATCTCACTGAAAATAAGAGACAGATGCTAAAGAAGATAATGAAATAAATGACACCATATTTTATATGTCACAAAGCAAGGTTACAAATGACACAAAACTAAAATCTGGAAAATTTTTTACCAAACAAAAGTCATATTTCTATATAAACCTTGCTATTTTTTTACTCTGAAAATTCTAGATTTTTAAAAAATAGGTAACACAGAAAAACTTACTCCATAAGATGCTGCATTATGTAAAGGAATAAGACCTCCTTTGTCTTGGGCATTCACATCAGCTCCATGTTGTAACAAATATTCTGCAACTTCTAAATTATTATAACCAGCTAATTTAGAAGAGAAGTAACATTACTTTCACTTAAACATGAGAAGGCCCCCCCATCACATTAGCTATACATATTTGTAAAGATTAGGTATCACTGAAAAAAAAAGATTTTATATAAATCAGAAATTCTGTAGTCTATGAAAAATTTATCTTGGAAAAAAATTCCCCCCTGAAGTTTTGATGACAACCAGTGGTGATGAAGACTCTCAAAATTACACCGACTGATTTGCTTCTATCTTTGTATTGAAAAATGTCACTGAAAGTCTTTGCTTGTATGCTTGCTACAACTTCCTAAATGCAGGTGCATGGTTTTAAGGGCCATAAGTCAGACAGGCATCTAATCTTATGTGAATAAATACCTTTGACAGCCTGGTAGAGAAACCTGTGTTCCTAAAGGCATGAAACAAAGGTTAGTATTTTGGAAATATGTTGTCATTTCCCAGCTAATGCTGTCAGTTATCTTAGTAAATACCTTTATGATAAAGCCTATTTGACACATAAATGTAGGAGGAAACATTTGGAACTTACACCAATAGTCGCTTAAAATTAGAAAGTGGTTTGAAATACTTATTTTTTTGCCCTTTTCTTAAAAAATTTTATTTTTATTAGTACATGTTAGGAGTACATAATGACTGCATTCATTGAGGAGTTGGTACATGTAAACCACACTATTTTAATTCCTTTTCCATCCCATTCCTTTGTCTCTCTCAAAACATTTGCATTTATTTTTGGTAAGTTTTTATCCTTTTGCTGAAGAATCTAAAGCATAAGAATTCAAAAAGACCAAGCAAGAAAAACAAAACTACCATAAACTAATTATTACACAAATCTAAAAGCCTTTTCAAATCTTTAGGTGTAGGATTTAACACTGTACAAGTTGGTAGAAATATTTTGTGTAAACATACTTGTAATTTAAAAAGACAATACGGACTTTTCCATTTAAAGGTCAGGTTATGGCTTGTCTTACATGGACCATCAAGACACTGGAAACAGTAAGGCTTTTTGCTTATCACGTAAGCATTTTTGTCTTATTACTTCAAAAGTGACAGGGGATCCAAACTTACATGAAATGAGAATTTAAAGATAAAAATCACTTAAAACCTGGTGTGTGTGGTGGTGGGAATTGAATCTAGAGCCTCATGTATGCCAGGTAAATGCCCTACTACTGAGCTATCTTTACTCCAAATTATCTTTTATATTACCTTTTTAAAAAATCGGTACCAGGGATCAAACTCACGACTGTGCACTTGCAAGGCAGGCACTTACGCTGCTGAGCTAAATCCCCAGCTCCCCCAAATTATCTTTTAAACATCAGCAATATACTAAGTTGTAATACAAGACAGAAATAAACTGATAATAATGTTCATTTCCCATATTATATAAAGTAGCAGAAACAGCTGCATTACTTTTTTTTAGTTTTAAATCACATTTAGTCCACTGTGCCTAATATATCATTCCCTCACATCCACAATGCAGCTAAAAAGGCTATCTTGAAACTTCTGCATACCACATAAAGACAACCACACCTGTGCTAATATTGAGTAGAAACTTAGAATAAATGTTATGGGTTGAACTGCATTCCCTTGGAGTTATATCACAAACTCCAGACCTTAAAACTGTGAATATATTTCGAGATGGGGTCAATCAAAAGGTAATTAAATTAAAATGAAGCCATTAGGTTATGGGCTAATCTAAACTGAACAGGTCCAAAGACCTCCTGGTTCTTCAATCAGATTTCTAGCCTATCTATGAGAAAACAAATTTCTGCTGTTTAAACCAGAGTCCTTGGTTATGGCAGTTTTTGCAAAGTAAAACAATGAATAAATCTGGCAAAATGTTTATGTAACTTCTGAAAGGCCCAAAATGCTCTGGCTGCCTGTACCTAGCAGCTTTCATTAAGAAGAATGAAAAGCTTGAGCTTCCCATGAGGAAGGCTGGGTACATCAGGCATCTTTTTCAAAACTCCTCCAAAGATGATTCAAACCATAATGATTGGAATAAAAGATCCCAAATGACATGGTAATTGGCCAGCCTGTTTCAATTCTTCAATTCAGTAAATGTAACATACTAAGCTAGTAGTCAGATAAATTACAACTTAGGTAACACTTTGAAGTATGGTTGCTTCATACAAATATGTTGAAGAGTATACTGGTGCCACAGGAGATATTTTATTTTCAGTTCAGTTATAGGAAGCATTTTGCTCAGGTAAAATGTATCTTAGGTGCACTGGTTTAAATCTGTAAAACTTGATTCACTCACCTGCTAGATGTAAAGGTGTAGAATGTCGGCCTTGGGTATCTCGGCAATTTACATTATCAGGTGATGACAATTTCTTTACTCTGGCTAAACAACCCTTTTTGGCAGCATCTAACAAAGCTGCATCTCCTCTAAGTAGATCCTGAATATCTGTATCTCCATCTTTAACAAGATCCAAAGGAGTATTTCCGTCCCTATTTTTCTTGGTAGGGTCTGCACCATGCTAGGCATGAAAAAAGGAGGAAGAACTGGGTAAAGCATGCCCTTTTTTCAGGAGACCACAGTCAATTTCACCATACCCCTCTCCCCTGCAAAAAAATCATTTTACACTAAGATTCTATATTAAAGGTCTATATGGTTTGTTATGAATATTTAACTTATACACAGAAAATTATAATAAAATGATTATAGAGGTAATTAAGTATTACTGGGGCTTATAATTCATTACTATAATAAAATGTTAAACTATATTTAAAATAATACTTCATTAAAAAGTAACTTTCATGTACACTTTAGTCATACTTCACTTAATGACAAGGGCATGTTCTGAAAAGGCCATCCTTAGACAATTTTACTTTTGTGACAGCATAGTAGTATATACATTACATGTATCTAGATGGTATAGTTTACTATGATAACAGCTTACTACTCCTAAGCTGTAAACCTGTACAGCGTATTATTGTACTAAATACCGTAAGAACTGTTAACGTAACAGAAAAAGTATAATAAAACAGTTTTCTGCTTCAATATAATTTATGGAGTTACTGCAACATATGTAGTTCAGTGATGGTGAACCTTATAGAGACTGAGTGCCCAAACTGCAATCTTAAACACTGCAAAGTGCCAACACTTATAAACTCTAAACCTGAATTAAATTAAACCTGAATACTGAGGTTTTAGTTTAGAAAGAAAAACACAGTAACACGCGTGCCACAGATTCGCCATCACTGATGTAGTTCATTGCTGACTGAAATGTAATCATTTAGCATGACTATTTTTATCTTTCATAACAAAATCTAATCTTTTTCACTATAAAAGATCTATTAATATCTGTTTTAAAATCACTACTACTAACTTTATGCTAAATAAAATGCCACATAACCTGGGCTAATATACTAAATACTAATATACTATTCATCAAATGTTTTAAAGTTAAATCACTAAACAAGAAAAATATAGATAATAATCAGAAATTTACCACATGACAGTTGAATATACAAAAATAAACCTATGTGTAAGAAACTTGTGCATTAAAATATAAGCAGTGATGACACTTTTTCTGAAATCTAGTCACAGAAGTAGGTACCTTTGTTTCCTACTCTTTTACTAGTTCAAGTTTATCTAGGAGTTATTTGAAAAATTTAATGTTAACATATTTCAGAAAGTACTTAAATATACCTGGAGCAGAAGTTTGCAAATTTCGTATTTTCCTTTCGCTGCAGCTTCGTGTAAAGGTGTAAACTTCCATAAGTCAGCTACATTAACTACTGCTCCATGCTTAACAAGAAGCTCTGCAACTTCATAATGTCCATAAGAACATGCATTGTGCAAAGGTACAAGGCCTCTGAAATGAAAATAAGCAATAATGTCAGAAAAGAATATAATTAATTTCAGTAATTGCATATAACTAATGAAAGTTTTTCTTGAATTGTATAAGGGATTATACTACTGACTGTACTTTGTAGAATCTGAATGTACTGAAAACAGAATTCTTTTTTGGTGAGAAGGGAAGAAAATTTAAACTGATAAAATTCAAGTATCTTTTTTTTTTTTTTTTTGGTCTTTTTCCTTTTTATTGGTACCGGGATCGAACTCACAACTGCCTGCTTGCAAGGCAGGCGCTTATGCTGCTGAGCTAAATCTCCAGACCCCAAATTCAAGTATCTTTAATAAACACTGAAAATTTTACATTAGAAATCATTAACTCAATAATGTTTCAATATACTTGGCTATCACAAATTTTTATTTTTTTAAAAGACAGGGATTCACTGGAGAGTTCATCTGGCCTTGACCTCATATGTAGCCCAACTTGGCCTTCAACTCCTAGAGATCCTCCTGTCTCAGTTGGCCCTCCAAGTGCTCAGGGCGCATGCCTCGCCCTGGTTTGTTCAGCTTCAAACTGTAAGGCATCATGCAGATCAAATCTTTATATAAATGTTAATCATCATTTTTTTGTGTGTGTGGTACTGGCAATTGAATCTAGGGTCATACCCATGCTAGGCTACCACTGCGCTACACCCTAGTCCCTGTAATAAAATCTTAAATGAAATTTTAGGAGCTATATTTGTAGCAAATTTAGGAAACAGGCTATTCCTAGAAAATGAAAGCAACTACTATCAGAAAAATGATTTCATAAAAAGGTTGACAAAAGAGAGGCATAACAATTTTTAGTACTTACCCTTTATCTTTAGCGTGCACATCAGCTCCATGCTGCAGCAGATATTCTACCACAGACACCCTGTTATATCCAGCTGCAAAATGAAGTGGTGTAGACTGACGCCCTTCAATGTCTCTGCAGTTGACACTCTGAACAGTACATAGTTTCTGTAGGATCAAACACAACATCCATGTGATGCTACATATTCTCATTTCTTATTTCACCTTACACAGTAGAAATATGTGCCTGATTCATTTTCTTGTCTCATTTAATAAAAATATACTCAAAAATATTTTTTCTTATTTTGCCTTACTATTTACTGAGAATCCATGTGGTCCTTTCATCTATACCTTCCACTTTTTTTTTGTAAAGGTAACAACTAAATTTTTATCAATATAACATAAAAGATAACCTCATATCAATTACTACAATCAATGTATGGAAATACAGATAGAGGTATGGTAGATCCCAGTAACATCAGCATTAGCAATGGGTTGTTAAAAATTTCAGAATCTGAAACCCCTACTTACTGAATCAGACTTGTATTTTAAACAGATCCCTAGGTGATCTGTAACTATATTAAAGTTTGAGAAGCACTGCTCTACGTCAATGGTTTTCAAGACTTCATGTGCACTGAGGTCTCATCTCTAGACTAAATTTATTGTGCTTTGAGTGGGCCTTGAAAATCTGCATTTCTAACAAGTTTCCAGGCGACGCTAATGCTGGTGGACAAGAAATTAGAGAATGAATCATATTGTACTACATGAAATGAATGAACTAATGGAATTCTATTGGTTATGAACCATCCTTCAGAGGATTAAAAAAAAAAATGAGACATTTAAATAATTTTCTGTGTTCTTTGGTTCAGATGACCCAGTTGAGAAATGCTCACTTTAAAAGTAACACTGAAAATACTCAAGAATATTTTACATGAAAAACAGGAAAGTGTGGGGAAAAGAAGCAAAGAAAATAAATCACAATGCTTAAAGAATCAAAAGAATTTCAGTATTAGTAAAAATTCTGCCCTATTTACTATCCTACTTTAATATAAACTCAATAAACCCAAAGAGCCAGCTAGTATGAGTGAGTTTAGCTCAACAGAAATCACTAGAAATGCTTCCTAAAAAAGAACTTGTTAGAAATATAGATTGAAGGTGCTACTCAAGAGATGGTGTTTTTTGGTGAGTCTAAAGTTGGACCTTAGGAATAAATATGTTTAATATGGGCACTAGGTGCTGCTACTTTTGGTAGTTATCACAGGCTATTCTACTCTCTACCTCTAGTTTAATAGATGTTCAATAAAAGTTTCAGTCTGATGGATTACCACTAAGTAAACCTAACAGCTCACAACTGAATGTTCATTAGGTAATAAACGGATGCTCTTGTCCTGGTGATTCATGGAGAGCCACCTGTCTAAAGATAGCAAAGGTACAGAAACATTGATGAAGATAAATTTCTATGAAATGATTTTCAAATCAGGGTGAGGAAGACCGCTCAATACCTATCACAGGGAGAGATGGTCTTCAATGGTACTATTTTGTTTTCTAAGTCCAATTCCTGCCTCATGTCTTCTTTATGTATCTCTTCCTCCAGATCACTTTGATCATCATGAAAATAAAGGTTAGTCTTTTATACAGTATTAAGTATATTTTTGTTTTTCAATTTATCACTTTGCTTAAGAAAAATCAACCAAAAAATCCTAAAATTACTTGAGATGTCTATATTACTTACACAGATAAAAGCAATAGCAAGGGCTCATATGCATTTAAAAAAAAAAATCAATTCCCAGAGGCTCTTCATTCGAAAGATCAGTGAATAAATTTTCCCAGAACTCTGCAAAGAGATCAACACTCAGATTTCTTTCTCAGAAAATCTGAAATTAATGACTTTGTGTTATGGGTCTGTTTAGGATGGAGAGCAGCATATGGAAATATACTGTTATTTATAATTATTTCAAAGTTATTTCTGCCACAAAAATGAACAATTATAGTTTCATAAAAATTATTCATTAGCGCCCCCTCAACTTACACCATCATAGTTTTTAGGTCTCCAAGTAGGAAAACATACAAAGATTTTCTCATTTACTAGCTTTGAAAATGAAAACATTACTACATATTGAAGAAGTCAGTAGCCTGGTATTGAAGAAGTATTTAATTTGTGGCAAATGCTGAGTTAATTCTCATTTAAATTAGCTGACCTGAAAAACTGTTGCTCTTTCAAAACATTAGGCTTTTATCTACTTAGATATAATCTTTCTGTAGATAACAGAAACACCTGGTATATGGAGTTAAGACATTACATATGTTCGAATGGTAAAAATAAAAACAGAATCTGAGGAAAGTTTATCTGGGAGTTTATCATTTCCTACTGGTATAGGAAATGAGGCAGACATGATCTAAAATTGACTACTATGGCAAAAAAAAAAATCTTAATCTAGATGAATTAAAGATTATTAAACAATTACGGCTCTGAGAAGTGGCAACACATTATTACTCTATAAATACTAGCAGGGAGTGGTAGAAGACAAAACAGCAAATATCTGTACAAAAAAGGACAAAGTTTTCCTCTTTGTTTTACATGGCATAGGTTAAAAGCAGTAGACAGTAATTTGATACACTTATTCTTTCATTGGGATCAACAGGTTCTTTTAAGCAAAACCTATTTTGTATTACATGAACTTTATGTTGACTTTGTGAATGTGGTATTTACTGAGATGTATGTTAAACTAAAGAGGCTTTTTCTTTCATTTCTCAGTGTTTCTTATTTGTAGGGAATTAGGTATTTTTGTCCTTTTAAAGCAAGGGACATCTAAATAAACTAAACTCTTCATTTTATTTTATTTTGTCTTTTTCCTTTTTATCGGTACCAAGGATCGAACTCATGACTGCCTGCTTGCAAGGCAGGTGCTTATGCCGCTGAGATAATTCCCCAGCCCAACTCGTCATTTTAACAGTGCAGCTCCATTAAAGTAAAAATAAAAACCTAAAGGTAATGGAAATATTAGATCGTATCTTACTTTTACAGTTTCCACATCTCCAGCCTTTGCAGCTTCCAGCAATTGTCTGTCTGCCTCTGAATTACCTAATGGGATACCCTCTAAAAAAACAGAAAAGAGAGACACAGTAATTAACTTATATTTAGCTAACAGGACCAAAGTTTCAGAGTGGGGTTTTACCAGAGTAAAGTTCTTGTACAGCTGGCTAGATTATATAGCTCTAGGATCTGTGGTAGTAGGGAAAGTATATTAAGACCCTTAAAAGCCTTTTGAAACACAACACATATAAACAAAATATTTAACTGTGCATAATTATAAAATGTAATTTAAACAATATAAAGGAACATAAAATAGCTGACGAAAGCTAACCTGTTTAACAGTCATGCCATGTAGAATTCTGGAAAAGTATTAAATTAAGAGTGTGAAAGCCAGAAATCAAATCATAGTTCTGACATTAACTAGGGTAAATCATTTAATATACACAGAGGCAAGTAAGTTTTAACTTTCTCAGTCTATTTTTTTTTTTTAGCTCTAAGGAGCAAAGTTGGACTAGAAATATCTAACATCATTTCCAGGTCTGAAATTGCTTTGTATCTTAAGATTTCAGGAAAGAAAAAGAAAATTTACTTTGTATCTCAGAACCAAATACACTCTACATAAATTAAACTTTAAAATAACCAGAAGAAAATACAATGTTTGCATATCTTGGAACTGTAAAGGTTCTGCTGCACATGGAAAGGAGGGCCCTCATCCCTAAACCTGTCAGAAAGTAACCCAGCACTAAATAAAATAACAATAAAAAGAATAAAATAGAAAAACCATGCTGTAACATGCACTTAAAGGCAACTACATTTTTAACATATAAGGCATGCTTTTTTGTTAATTTTAATTAGTTTAACACATTATGCTTTTCATTTATAATACAGTGCTTTAAAAATGCAAGGCTAGTGTAAGGTATTTTTATGAGAAAAACAGTTGGGAAGCCTCACCAGACACATCTGATGAGGGCATCAATAAGTACTTCATATAGAAAAAAAAGACCAATACACATAAAATTATGCTCAACCTTATGAAAAATGGCGAAAGTATTTCATATATAGAGAAAAGAACAATAAACAAAATGACATTCAAACTGACTTATAAGAAATGGCAAAAACCACTGTTTATTCACTAGTATGGGAAATTGAAATAGGAATTTATACTGCTATTTCTAGTTTGCACTAAAAAACCCACATAGCTTTTCTGTTAATTCACAAAATGCATATTTACCTATGTAAAACATTAACAATCATACCTAGTGCTGTCAAGGAAAACAGTGCTTATGTTCTTAATAGTAGTATAAAATAGTACATTATCACCTTTCCAGAAAAAAAGCTCACAATTACTTGCTACCCTTTAACCCTAATAATTTCATTTCAATAATTTATTTCAAGAAACCACCTGGAAAGTGAAGCGATGCATAACAAATAGTATTAAGTGTAAATAAAAAAGTTTTTCTGTATCAGCAATAGTACTTACGACCTTGCACGTGCCAGGCAGGCAGTTGTGCCGCTGAGTCATATCCCCAGCTTACTGTGAGATTGACAAGGTAATAAAATTTTCTTTCTAACAGGGTCTCGCTACATAATTCAGGCTAGCCTTAAACTATGTTGTCCAGGTTAGCCTTGACCTTGCAGTGATCTTCCTACCTCATCTTCTCAAATGTTGGGATTACAGGTGTGTACCCCCCTCCCAGCTAAGACAGTAAATAGGCAAATTAACTATGTTGTTATTACCCCTAATCAAATGAGTTGGGTTTGGAAAAACAAAGGTATTCTTGAAAGCAGTCTTCTAGTTAAATTCAATTTTAGAAGACCTTAGGGAGGGTGTATCAACTTGCTTTATCTACTCAAGCAATGTATTTCTCTAGTATTCTAGTGCTTATTAGACCTCAGGCATATAAACCAAGGATGAATGCTAAGAACTGAAAAGTCTTGCTTTTGCAATCCTGAGTTCTGAAACCTCAAAAGTACTCTATTAGATTGTAATAAAAACTAGAGATGAAGGCAAATGATATTTTTAAGGACTGGAGAAAGTTTAGTGATAGAGTACTTGAACACTTAGCTATCACGTGTGAGGCCCTGAGTTTAATCCCCAAAACTGGAGGAAAGAAATAAGATATTCTGGAATTCATGGGACCAGATTTCTAGATTTAATGTTTATGCCAAATGTCTAGATGAACTGTAATGAGTATAAACACATTCAATAGTGTAGTATCTTATACAAATTCTACATGCCTTAAATATGCAGGATCCGAAGAAGAATGAAGTAGTGCCAGTATTTACAGTATTTTGTGTCACAAGAGTTGCTATACTAAAAGATCCTGACCTTTTAAAATTTCCCTTCCTTTAAAAGCACCATGTATTATGGCTCATATTTGTAATACTAGCTTCTGGGGAGCTGAGGCAGGAAGATTCCCAATTTGAAGACAACATGGGCAACTTAGCCAGCTCATCTCAAAATAAAATCTGAATCGAGAGCCTGGGTGTACCTTAGTGGTAAAGTGCCTGCTTGACATGCAAAGGGCTTAATATTCATCCTCTCTCCCCCCAAGGAACTATTTTATCTGGTTCTGAAAAACTTCCTGGATAAAACTTGACAATCATTTTATTCACTCAGAGACAGGGCAGAAAATACAAGAAAAAATGATTTAATGACATTTGGGCATTAACTATAATGAGTTAACAGGATGAGTTAAAGAGTCAAAATTTTATTATCAAACATTGCCTATAATACTTGATATGTAAACAAATTTAACAATTAAAAAAATTAATGTCATGGAAGCATTTAATACCTTGGAGCACTTGTTGCACATTTTCATTTCCCATCTGTAGTGCAGTAAAGCCCTGCAGGGATATAATGTTAGGATCGCACCCATAGCTCAGAAGTAGGCGACAGGTTTGTAGATGGCCACAGTGTGCAGCTCTGTGCAGAGATGTCTGACCGAGATTATCCAGGGCATTAACCTTATACAATGCAAAAAAAAGTTGATTTTAGCCTTTAGTGCACAATTTAAAACCAAAAAAGCATGTAAATCATAATGTTACTGATTTAAAAATCTCAATTAGTCTTCTATGAAGTTTTTGTCCCATGCCAAAGCAAAGTCTGTTGTTCAAATCTAGAACATAAATTCACCAATTCTTGTGGGCTGACTGGAGACTAATCCCATTTTGAGTTAAACATGTGAGATGTTGATTTTCAGCTATGTTTAGCATTAAAGTATTTAGATTCAAGTATTTTGGGCTGGACATGGCCTAACAAAGTTGAACTCAGGTATGTTTTGGATCTCTGAAGTCTAGAAATGTAGACTAATCCTAAGGTAAACAATAGGAGCAAAGTCAAAGACAAATTAGCATTAAAATACTTATTTCTATTGAATTAATCTCCTACCTTATTATATTAAATATAATTCATACAGACATGTGGTATATCCACATAATACTTCAACAATACAATCAAACAGCAATCTTCAAAATATTACACTAAGTGGAAAAACCTTACAAAAAGTATATACTACGTAATTCCATGAATATGGAAGCCTAGAACAGACAAATCTAATCTGTCAGAAAAAATAATAACTATTGTTTCCAGAAATGAAGACTGCTTGAGATGGGGCATTTTTCTCTGCTATGAGATGTTAAATCTTCACAGAAGAGCTCTGGTTACACAGACTGTCAACATGCAGCATATAGTTAGGACTTAAGATTTGTGTACTTCATGCAAATAATATCTAAACAAAAACTAAACAAATACTTTAGTTGATGTGTACACAGAGGTATTTGGGGGAAATATACAATAATCTACAAATTATTCTGATGTGTCAGAATTAAGATATACAATGAATATATAAAACACCAATATGGTAGAAAGTGATAGATGGGTACATAATTATTATCTGTGTAATTCTTTTTTTTTGTCAGACCTTTGAAAAATTGCACAAGAAACATAAATCATTTCTCTTACCCCCACCTGTACCCCTCTATCACAGAAATAATTTGTCAAAACATAACTGGGAAACTTTCTCAGTAAACAATCTTGTGATTACTGGTGTGTTTTGAGCACTGGTCAATTCATACTCATAGAATGAGAGAATACTTGAAGAAGAATATAGCAACGTCTCAACAAGCATAACTAGATTACAAATAGCTAGTCTCCATGATTACAGATCCTGCAAAGTCCATTTAAAATTCTCAAGGCAATTAAACTACTCATTCATACACCCAAACTCACAGAAGTGAGAAAAGCATCTACTTAAAAAATTTTATTCAGGTACCACTTTGCCTTAAGAATAGGATGACCAATTCATCCTGGTTTTCCTGGGATTTCTTTTGTTTTAGTACTTAAAAGTTCTGTTTCTGGAAATTCCCAAGTACTGGATAAAAATCAGCAGTTGGTCACTTCTAGTTATGATTATCTTGTTGAGTTTCAAAACTCAAATTCAATATGCATCCAGGTATTCTTCGACATACCACATGTATAAAAAAGGTCAATGAAAAGATACAGAAGAGACAAATGAAATATGCCAAGCAGTCAAGCAGAAATAAACTTTATTTTATTCATAATTTACAATAGGAAAGGACCAAGATTATACATTATCAAAACTCCCCAATCAAACACAGATCAGGACACAGAGATTAGACAACACAAAAAGAAACTGGAAAATTTTAAGTGGTTGAATGAAAGGACAGATAAAACTATTTAGCAAAGTCGGTTTAGAGAAAGATCTTAAGGGCTACTAAAGTGAAAGGGGTTTGTGTTTTTTTACTCTGCCTTCATACAGAGCAGTTACATTTTCATTTTCAATGACTTTCTACTAAAGATTTTGTAGAATTTGTGGCTACAAACTGAAAATTACTAAGTTAGGTGACTCTTCTAATCTAGGATACTATACATATTTTTTCCTATGTGGATTTTTTTTTTGTACCCAAGATCAAATTCACAACCTTATGCTCACTAGGTAGGCACACTACTGAGCTAAATCCCTAGTCCTCTATGTAACATTTTTAAAAGGGCCTGTGTGGAGGGTGGGGATTTAGCTCAGCGGCATAAGCGTCTGCCTTGCAAGCAGGCAGTCCTGAGTTCGATCCCTGGTACCGATAAAAATGAAAAAGACAAAAAAAAAAAAAAAAAAAAGTGCCTGTGTAAAAAAAAAAAATCGCTTCCAGCTTTGATGGAAGCACAGTTATTCAATCAATAAAATGTTCTGTATGCAACTGCCAACTAACAGAACAATAGTGTATCAACATGGGTAGGTATAATGTTTCTATTCAAATTGTTTAAATCATTTATTTCCTTCCATTCAAATGCTTTAGCTTAATTACAAAAACAATAGAAGATAAAAAGACATCACTGGGCAAATAACAAAAGTTACCATAGTAATTGAGGGATACAAGAAATGGTGAGAAAAGAGTGAAAAGATAATTGGTCAGAATCCTTATGCCCCTAGCTAGGGATATTCTATCATGTGTACTGTTCTGAAGGATAACTTTGATCAGTTGTGTACGGTAAAAGGAAGGACATATACAAATAATGTATATGAGAAGAAAATACATCAACTTCCTCCAAAAAAATCAGAAATAATTAGCTGCAGGACTATTTCTAAGTGTAGATTGAGAGAAAAACGTAATACTTAAGGTAAATATTTTAGGGAGTCAAGTATTTCATCTGATAAACAGAAAAATAACTCACTAGATTGCCAAAGATTACCAAAAAGGTAGTATACCTTTGCTTCATGTTTCACCACTATTTCAACAACATCATTGTGAGCTTTCTCAGATGCTACATGTAGAGGAGTCAAAAATCTTAAAGAGAAAAAGGCAGACAATGAGTGCATTTTCCAGACAATAAAATGTCAGTAATATTTAATCATTAAAAGTATACTTACTCTTTAGTTTTTTCATTGATGTTAGCTCCTTTTCTTAGCAACAGTTCACATATTTGTTTTCTTTTGGGATATGGAGATGCAGCTGCACAATGCTAAATAATTTAAATTGCAGTATTAATCGAGGACTATATAAACTGGTTTTTACTTAAGAAAACTTGTGTTTTCAATTAAGAATAATCAAGAAGTTGTTTAACTTCTTGATTTTTGACCTAACTATGCTTCTGATAAACTTTTGGACAAGATGTGCAACAATTACCAAATTTGGACCAAGGCTAAAAATCTTATGTGCCAGATCATATTTGTTGTTAAATACCTAGAATAAACTTTGTCCCCTAACTTTGAGAAACCGACAACTGATGTGATGAAAAACCTAATGTGAGCAATACTCCTTTTAAAACTGTTTCCATATAACAAGATTTTTATGTTTAAAAGTTAAGAAAACACCCTTGCGTTTTCTTTACATGAAGAATGAATATCCATAGGCTCTACATTCTGCTTGGTCGATAGTATGACAGCCTAACTAGCTCTTAAGCTAAGTAGTATTTATCTATGCCAGCTACTTGCTGCAGCAGAATAAAGAGGTTGTATTACCTGATGGGCACATTCAGTTTTACAAAATGATATTAGAGTTCCAGGCTGCAGCATCTATATTTAAGTTGTATCAAGGAGGAAAAGGAGTCAATAGACAGGAATTTGCCAGTGAAACCTAGCACTTTGTGGTCATGGCATGTATCTTTGCAACCTCCCAGGATCATACTCAAGGACAATGGGCATTCAATAATTTTGGAATGATGATTAAATCAATATATACATGTTAAAACTAAAACTTGAAAATTCATGGAATAAAAGTTCTGATTAATTTTTAAGTAAGGCCAGTCAATATATCTAAGCATATAGTACATACGAAATTTGTTCTCTGATTGTAATCTGTTATTAACTATAAAGCTTATCAGATCCTCAGATCTTTTTTGGGGGGTACTGTTAGGATTCTAACTCAGGACCTCAAGTTTGCCAGATTGGCACTGCGGCTCTGAGCTAAATCCCAGATCCTTGGGATCTTTGATACTGCTACAGTTACCAAAATCATTTATTCACCTTCAATGAAGTCAAAGCTAGTTGGTGAGCACAGTTCTTTTGGCATGTTAAGGGTAATAACCCCAGGTCTTCTAACAGGAGAGCACAGAAAATAGAAGTTCATTTCCAACATTTCTTTATCACACCCACATCAAACTGCATCCAAACCTGTCTTTTGCACCATCCTGGAGCAGGGTCAATCTCTTGAAACTGAGAAGAAATTGCTCCTGGACTTACAATGCCTTTGACATTAATTCCCAGTATGTTAAAAAGTTGTTTAATAAAAGGAGAGGAGAAATAGAAGAAAACAACAGGTAAAACACTCCTCTTATTTATGCTTTTGCTTTTCATGGGTTCAGTTACTTACAATCAACTGTGGTCTAGAAATACATGGAAAATTTCAGAAATAAGTAATAAAGTTTCAGATTTTTTTTTTTTTTTTGCCGTACCGGGGACCGAACTCACGACCTCGTGCTTATCAGGCAGGTGCTTATGCCACTGAGATAACTCCCCAGCACCATGATGTGTGTTTCTGAGAAGTCATAAAATCTTGCATTATCCTGCTTGGGTTGTGAATCAACTGTTTGTCCAGTGTATGCTACCTGCTTATTAGCTGCAGTCACCTCAGCCACCATCAGATTGACTGTTGAGGTAACACAGTGCTGCTTTTCAAATGAACTCTTGTATCACTTAACAATAGCCCTTTAAGGGCAAGAAAAGTGATGCTAGGAATTTTGATACATCAAAGGGAAACTGTATAAATTGCTTCCTTTAAATAAAGTCTAATAAGGGGGAAAATACTATATGTGAGGTTGATAGGAGCTACAGCTAACTTACTGATGTTAATGTGTTACTGTCCTCATTTATAAATTAAACTGTGTAAGTAGGTAGAAGAATAAACAAGAGTACAGTATATACAGAGTGTAGTACTGCCTGTGGTTCCATGTATCCCTTGTGGATATTAGAAAATAGTCTGCAGACAGATACAAGGAATCCTAGTTTCGGCTTCCAAACTAGAATTTTACCATGATGTTAACACTTTCCAGATTTCTCTGAATTGTTTTAGTGCTGTTGTAATATTAATTCTGTATTAACATTTAATAGTCTGCAGCTTTACTTTTTTACTTGGCTATTTTTAAGAAGTAGCAAAAAGACTGCAAATATTTATAGTAGGATTTCTGTATAAATCTTTCAGTTTACATTAAGGAATAAAGAAAAAATTTACCATAAAAGACTAGCTAAGGCTACCGTAAGTGAAATCTGCTACATATAACAACCTACAAATCTTCTTCCAGCTTTTGCAATTCATAAAACAGGATTTTTTCTTTGCACATTGCTACTTTTAAGGAAATCCCTGATTTTGGTATTCCCTTCTGTCACTTACCCTGATACCTCCCATACTTTTCTACTCATGTCTACTTTGGTATAGTACTGTAGAGTTGTGTTATCTCCATTAGGGAAGTAATCTCTAAAATAGTTTTCATTCACACTTTAGACTGTAAAACTTGAAGGAAACACAACAAACGTTCCTGTCTGTCTTTAAGACTGGGTCTTGCTACGTTACCTTGACCAGCTTTCTATTCTTCATTCTTTTACCTCCCAGGTGGCTGGGATTATAGGCATATGCCACTGCATCAGTTTCAAATGGTCTTTATCTGGAGGGTGGCGTTATTTTCTCATTCTTTTCAGTGAGTTCCAAATTTTCTAATATAAGCATTTATGATTTTTATAACCCCTCAAATGATATATACCATACATGATTTAAAAAATACACACATAACGTATACCAGTATATAAAGATAATTTTTTCTGGATACATTATCAAATTAATAATGGAACTGTCTTTTAGAAGGTAGGCCATTCTTTAGTACTGCATGAAACTTTTTCATATGTGTGTACATTGCTTTAGTTTTTGAAAATTACATGTTTTTAACAATTTCTGAAACATTACCAGTGCTGTTTCATGTGTTTGAGGATGTTTGAAATTCACCATTTCCAGAGACAGATGCTTTTTGATTCGTGTAACATCAGCTTCCCGTGCAGCTTGCAGCAATGAATGGCCTTTAAATTCATCTAGATGAAGAAGCATTAAATATACATGAGAATTATCAAATTAACAATCTTTATCTAGTAAAAGACAACTAGCATTTTTCTCAAATTTATTTTCAAAATAGTCAGACTGGGCTCCTGTACAGATTCTCCAAATCTAGCTCTGGAAAACAGTCACAGTGCTACTCAGTTCCCATCAACAGGGCTCAATTTATCCAAGAGTATACACGGATTTATTCCATGGCAGACTCCTGATCTGCTCTCATTCATAGTTTATAGGTATCTAGAGTGCTGCACAACATATCCAGACCCGAGTGCTTTGTGAATATTCCAAAGCACACAATTTCCCTCAGTAAATAAAGTGTGATCATAATTTCTACATAACATTATAGCAGTGGCAGACTAAATTTAGCTCAAATTTATGAGATAACTGGACCAGACAAGTTGGCTACTGCTGAGTGCCACTCACAATAAAGAGGGTATTTTATCAAGGTTTCTCTTATACTCATTAGACTTGTGAAATAACTTCACTACCCCTTATTATTCTAGAACACAGGCTGTCTATTTATATGTATTAAAACTAAATCTGAGTTAGGTATTCTTTTCTATGTCTACTTCAGCTACAGACAAAAACGTCACAGAACTCAGTCCAAACAACAAATAATAGTAAATGTTAAGGAAGATGTAAGGAACATTGCGGCATAGTAGTACATGCCTATAATTACAGCCGTCAAGAAGCATAGGCAGAAAGATCTTGAGGTCATCTAGGCTACACAGCAAGAACATGTCTCAAAAAACCAACAAAGACCTGGGGACTATATTTATGAGATGGCTATCTTACAAACAACACTAACTTCATAGTACATTAACTAGAAAATCATCAAACTCAAAAGCTCATTTAAAAAATATACCCCTTATAATAAGACTAATATATATATGAAAATAACTGAACTTCAAAAAGCTAATATATCTTCTTTTCACAGCATCTAGAGTAAGAAGATGCTTCCAAGTTGCTAAATATGATAAAAAATAACAGATATCCATGGCTATTGACAATATTCTATTATTTAACACATTCACAACAGGACCATAATTTATGACTATATCACCAGTAGGGATGTGTTAAACATTTGCAAAAATAAATAAGAAAAAAATGTTTAATTGGTTAATGTTACAATATACTAACTGAACGTTTGTGATTTTTATACTTACATGATAATCTTTCTTTTAACTGTGGTGTGGGAGCCAAGTCGATAGCACTTTTATTATGACAATTCAGCAGTGTTGGATCTGCACCATAACTTAAGAGAAGAGAACACACTTCAACTCTGTTCTTAGAAGCTGCCTCATGAAGAGGAGTGAACTGCCACAAGTCCATTGCATTTACACAGGCACCATGCTGGGAAAGGAAAAGCATATACTCAATGTTCAATTTTTAAGACAGTTTAGATTAGTACTGTGTAATGCAACATTATGCAAACTTAAGATGTATTTAACTGTTGCTGTGAAAGACAATTAAGAGCAAAGCTTTAGATTTAACTTGTATCCTTTCCAAGACTTTCTTCCATTCATTCATCCATTGTTTTTCCTAGGTGGTACTGGCCCTCAAACTCAGGGCCAGTGCGTGCCAGGCACGCACTCTACTACTGTGCTACATCCCCAGGCTATTCTTCCCCTTTGTAGACATATATGTCTATAATACCATCATCCAAGCTACAGAATACCTTGAATACCCCATATTTCTTCATGGTCCTTTTGTAAGCATTTTCTCCCCATTCTGACTTTCAGTACCATATTAATGTTCTGAAACTTCATAAAAATGGAATATAGTACTGTATATACTTTTGTATCTAACTTCTTTCCCACATATGTTTTTAGGATTTATATTTTTATCAATAGATCATTTTAATTGCTAAGGAACATTTCATTGTACTGATATCACAATTTACTATCAAAAATCTTCCTTTAATGGACAGCTGGGCAGTTTCTAGTTGTATGTTGCTGTGAATCATCCCAAGGCCTTGTGTATGCTAGGCATGATATTTTTTTTTTTTCTTTTTCCTTTTTATCGGTACTGGGGATTGAACTCACAACTGCCTGCTTGCAAGGCAGGTGCTTATGCCGCTGAGCTAAATCCCCAGCCCCTCTAGGCGTGAGTTTTAACATTGAACTATATCCCTCAGCTCTATTTGTAGTTTTAACTATTATGAACACTCTTAAATCTCTTTGTGCTCATGAATGTCATTGTAGCTAATATTTAAGTTTATCAGAAACTGCAAAACCATTTTCTAGAGTGTAATACTATTCTACATCACCATCAGCAATATTTGAGTTCTAGCTGCTCCATACACTGGTTAATGCATTGTTATTGTTCAACTTTAAAAATTTTAAGTCATTTCCAAGTGTTGGAGTTAGATAGACTAAATAAATTATACTAGTCCAACCTCCTGTCAAACACTGAAGGTAACTCAACTACTTGATCTTTTTAGCTGTGTGCTGGACATTGAGCCTACAGCCTCACATATGGAAGGTAAGTGGTCTGCCACTGAGCTATATACCTGATCTGGTACCCGCTCCTTTAGTATTTTCAATGAAGGGGACGCAATTCTTGGCTAATATGGCTATTATACTTACCAGATAACTCCTGGTATTATATTACAAAGTTCATTTTTACGTTAAATTATGTACTTTTAGCTTGTTTTACTTGTCTTCTTTGGCACAAAAGAGACTAATACTCTTCCAATGTGGTATTTTGAAAAAATTCTTTGATTTTTCTTTTCTCAGTGTAATCATTTCTAAGTTTTTTAATTCATCTTCCTATCAGACAGTTCCTAGACTTACATCCTGGTGCCCTTCAATTAAATATATGTCAAGAAATTTATTTTACAGAGCTAAGGATGTAGTTTAACAGTACAGTGTTTGCTTCTCTATTCTGTGCAAGGCCCAGTACCACAAAAAATAACAAAACGAAACAAAAAAAAAAACCCAAGTCAAATACTATAGTCCCAATATGATTTGACTGTGTGGAGTATACTCCATCCATTATTTTATTTGCTCTTGGCATATACTTCTACGACTAGTTTAAAATTACAATAGTTTATTTCTCTTCTCCCCCTGCCCAATACTGAGGATTGAACCCATGGTTCTTTAACATTGATCTGTATGTCTAGTCTTTTTTATTGAGAGACAGGGTCTCACTAAGTTGCCCAGTCTGGGCTGGAACTTGTGACTTTCTTGCCTCAGTCTCCTGAGTAATAGAAATGACAGATGTGTGCCACTGCACTTGCTATATTATGTATTTTAAAAATAGCTACATCAAAATTTGTACTTATACTGAAATAGTGGGCAATTTAAAAGCTCTATAATTGCTTTAAACATGAAGCAAATATCAAAGTATATTTTTCACTCACATTTTGTTCTTGTGTACTTGCTCAAACACTAGTTATCTTTTCCTTGTTTCAAGGTCATCTACAAAGTTTATAATATCCCTTCTTTCAAAAAAAATTTTATTAATAAATGTCTGCAGTACATAATAATTACATTCATCATGGTGAGGTGGGACATAACACATTTTAATTCTTTTCACATTACACTTAAAATTTTGGTCAATACTTTCTGCGCAGTTATTTAATTCCCCAAATTATGGCCAGATCTATCTATTTTTCTTCTTTGGATTATAGGCTATGAGAAAAAAGTAGAAAATTACTTGTTATTCTTGTGTTTACTAGGACCATACTTCACTATATGATCCAAGGATCATATGCTGGTGGCATCATTCTCGAGGCTTACTGCTCCAGTCATGAAAACTGGTCACTAAAGGTCTGCTGCTTGTAGTAGTCAGGGCTTGCAAGGAGGACAATTATATACAGGACACATAATTTACAGTATTATTTATACTGGTCACTCAAGGAGTCAAATACAAAGAAGGTGCAGAAAATCTGTCCACAACACTTAAAGACCTAAAAAGTTCAGTGGAGGGCGTGGATCCCATGGCAATAACCTGCATGAGTTCAGCTGTGCATAACAATGACCCATGCAAGTCTATCCCAAGGATCTGTGCTGGAAAGGCTCAAAGATCAGCGGTGGAATCCTGAAAGTCTATGCCAGCGGGGGTGAACAAACTGTGCCAGCAGGCTGAAGGTTCTATTCTGGAGCCAAGAAACAATGCTCAAAATAAGGACTAGGGCTCCCCTGAAAAGTACACAGCCATTCTCAGCAACAATGAGGTCACTCCTCCATCAATGAGAACACCTGAGTACAGAGGCCAGTGTGACAAATTCTGGAGATTAAACATCACACACCTTCCAGGAAGCGATGCTCAAAGCACCAAAGCTTCCCCGAAGTGTAAAGCAGCTATATTCAGCAACAAGGTCCTGAGTTCCTCCAATGATATCAGGTTAGTTCACATCAGGGGAGCCAACATGAAAGGTCTTCCAAGAGAACCAACGGCTCCAAACAACAATTATACTTAAGAGAACCCACAACACTACTCTTTCTCTCTACGTCTCGCAACAGTCCTCAGGTAGCCATCCACACTCAGCAGCACTATGGTGATTCAGTTGAGCTGTTGTTTAAGCTGACCACCAGTTATCAATCCACTACACTGCTAGATGACAGTTTCTTCTACCTGGACTCCCTAGCAAGGGTTGTCAGCATGGTGTTGTCCAGAACTTCTCCATCTATTTCAAATTTCTATTTGCCTTCTTTTGACTGTCCTGACACTGCTACTCTGGTAACTGCCTGTACCCTAAAGTCAGCCAGCATCCTTTTAAAGTATGACCTCTAAGTCAGCTTTCCATTCTTACTGTTTTGTGGTGCTAGGCAAGTGCTCTGCCACTAAGCTACATTCCCAGCGCTTCCATTTTTTAGTAAGACACCATTTAGTAAGTTTTAAGTTCTCATGCAACCTGTCTGATATTCCACTTTTTTTTGTTTATTTGTTTTGAGACAAGGTCTCACTATTATATAGTGCAAATTGGCCCGGAACGCATGGATAATCCTGCCTCAGCCTTCCAAATGCTGGGATTACAGGCATGCCACTACATAAGGCTTATTTTTTGAGACAGGATCTTGCTATGTAGCAGAGATTGGCCTTGTATTCACAGCCATCCTTCTGCCTCAGCCACCGAAGTGCTGAGATTATGAAAAGTTTCATTCTTGTCCACCAAAATATTCCAAATGTTAGATGCAAGATATAGGTTTTTTTGGGTACAGAGATTGAACTCAAAACCTTACATTTGCCAAGCAGGCTCTTAGGCTGCTGAGCTACCTCCCCCCACCCCCGCAAGATACAGTTTTACAAGAATCAAAAGCATTATGCTATAAAGGCACACTATAAAAGCTACATTTTCAATATAATAAGGTTTAGATGCTACACGTAGTCTAATTATTACTATGAAGTTCCTTATGTGAGCATGGTGGCATATACCCACAAGAGAGCACAGAGGTACTGAAAATAATTTTTTTTTCCTTCATCTGTTTTCTTATCTTTAGCTACAAATGCCCAGAGACTGAGAAAAGTACCAAAAGGATACACTGAATGTAGGGTAAATGAAGTCTCAATGTATATAAATTTATACAGAGCATGTATACACAGAGATCGGACAGGAGAGAAGGGGTGTGGGTAACATCCTTGGATTCTACTCTTCTTTTTATTTAAGATTAAAAAGAAAAGAAAAACAAAAAGCAATACAGACAGATAAACAATAAGCTTGGATCCCACTCTTAGGGTTATGTACCTTTCACAGCTACCCAAAAAGGTCAATTTAAGAAGTTTTTTGCATCCTTGGGAACCTGTTTGTTAAAAATAACTGCCAGCACACTGGTTAAAGTGAGTATCACCAAGTCAGCCTGCTCCAACCTAAAAGTATAACTGGGAAAATTCTGTAAATATCACTGGCAGTTTTAATACTGTTATGAATCAATAAAAATTATCTTTTTCTTTTGGTACCAGGTATAGAACTCATGACCTTGATTTTGCCAGGCAGGTGTTCATGCCACTGAGCTAAATCCCTGGCCCTGTTTTCTTATCTTTAGATACAAATTACAGAATTACGAATCTGTCAGTTATAGGCTAGCAATGCTACTTCATATTTGAACTATGTATCTCAAAATTTTGGAAGTCTGATGTTAATCTGTCAATCACCCATATTCTATAATGATACTTTCTTTATTAAGTGCTTAAAACACAATAAAGAAACAGATATACCACATATAATTTTATATAATTATAAAAAACAATCAAAGGTGTATAAGAACTAACCTTAGGGGCTGGGGATTTAGCTCAGCGGCATAAGCGCCTGCCTTATAGGCAGGCAGTCGTGAGTTCGATCCCCAGTACCAATAAAAAAGAAAAAAGAACTAACCTTAACCAGAAGTTCAGTTACTTCATAATGACCATATGAACAGGCATTATGTAATGGCACCAGATCACTACAATAAGAGAGGAGAGAAAAAGCATGTGTTATTACAGACTCCCTACGTGTAGGGAAACATAAATTATTTAGCTTTTATTAATTTAAACAAATGCTTCATGTGACCAACAAAAATGCACAAAACTTTAGTTCCATTCATCTGAACCTTTAGTTCTAACAATTCTAACTCCCAAGTTTCTTTCAAATATATCATTTTTGTACACTGCTATTGCTATTGACTTTGTTTGGGCTTATATTATTTTTTTTTCTTGCACTACTGAAATAGCTCCACTCTGTTTGTGGCTAGATTTTTCTAAAAGGCAAATATGATGTGGTTATCCCTGGTATAACATTTTTAATGATTCTTTCTTGCTTCCTACGAGAGATAGTTCTAATTTCTTAACAGGGTACGCACAAAGTTCTGGCTTTTTCTCCTGCCTTACATTCAGTAATGGTATGTTTACGGTTCTTGTATGTCTTTCTACATATTTGTTCTTGGTGTAGGATAAATTTCCCTCTCCTCTTTAACTCATCTTCCCAGATAAAGCACAAACACTGGCTCTTCCTTGAAACATTTCTGAAGTCCTGTAAGGTAAACTGCTATAGGTCTCAGTAAACTGAAACCTAATTCACTCACTTTATTTGCCTAGACATTAGTTTCATTACCAACTATCTAGTAGATGCTTCCACCTGAGTTTCCATCACATCTAAAACTGAAGTCAATTTTTCTTCTTGAATGTCAATATGTGTATTATTGTGTCTCACTCAGCTTTAGAATTTAAGTAGTTTTCTTTGTATTCCTTTCTCTCTTATCATGTCTAGACTTTATATATCTCATCTACTCTTTTTTTTTTTAATCAGTACCGGGGATTGAACTCACAACCGCCTGCTTGCAAGGCAGGTGCTTATGCTGCTGAGCCAAATCCCCAGCCCCTCTCATCTACTCTTAAATTGTAAAATGTGTTGTACCTATGCCTTCATTTCCCTACAAAATGCTCCAGAACACACACCTTAAACTTAAAAATTCTTTCAGTGTTTTTCCTTTTATGATGCTGGAATCAAACCTAGGCCTTAGCAGGTGCCAGGCAAGTGCTCTATCATCAAACAATACTTCTAGCCCATGATCACTGTTCCCTAAATGTGCTGTGCCTTCTGCTTCAGCACCTTCACTTATACCAATTCTTTTTCAGAGTGAAGGTTTTCCCAACTCCTTATTTTCTAGAATTGATATCTACCATTAAGATCCAAGTCAAATATTCTGAAGGATTTCCTAATCATTCCATCCATCACTGACAGTCTTCTTCTGGAAACTCTTGTAGTACTCTCTATTTATCACTTGGCTCTTAGGAAACACCTTCATGATTTAGCAGGTGTTTTTTACGCTTTACCAAGTATAACATCTGAGTGGTAGGATTAAGCTCAATGAATGTTAAAGCTGTTTAGTAAAAAAAAAAATACGCTTTTTATCAGGTTACTAATCTGGTATCTGTCATTTAAGAATTATGACATGTAAGTAATTTTATTGAAATGCTTACCCTTTATCTTTAGCATGGACATCAGCTCCATGCTGCAACAATAGCTGTACAATCTTTACTCTGTTGTATCCTGCTGCCAAATGCAATGGAGTTGACTGAAACATTAACCATATAAATTAATGAAATTCACATAATGGCTGAGTAAGACATGTGAAAAGGTAAGAAACCCAAAAAGAGAACCAGGAAATATAACTTCATTGTCTAACAAGTAGGTATCAATTTGGTCCTTAAAAAAATCTAACACACACTGAATACAGTGTAGAAGTTTTAAGTTCACTATTGCACACTGTTTGCAAACAACTAAATGCTTATGATCTTTTAAGTTTTTACTAAATTTAAGAATTAGTCTGAATTACTACTTAAAATAAAACACCAATATTCTTTTCAAGTATGTTTTAATAAGATAAATGCATCTTCCTGTTAGTAGGAGAACATAAACATTATTCCAAAAATATTACCTTTCTGCCATCACTTGCATGGCAGTTAACATTTAATGGTGTAAGTAGTGCCATCATTTTTTCCTCATTGCCACTCCTGGAACACCAAAAGATACATTAGCAACTTCTATTCTTTATCAGATTCTACTGGAGACATAGACTGCCTCCATTAAGAATCATTCTGTTTTACATTATATTTACTGGGCTTTACTTTGGAGTGGGGGATGTTTTAGACAGCTTCTTGCTTTATAATCAGGCTGGCCTTGAACTCATTCTGTAGTCCAAGCAGGCCTTGAATACTGGGCAATCTTATTTTAGCTCCTCAAGAGCTGGGATTATAGGCATGTGCCACCATGCTCCCCTTATACTTACTGTAAAAAAAAAACTTTAGCCAGGGATTTAGCTCAGTGGCCTAAGCGCCTGCCTGGCAAGTGTGAGGTTGTGAGTTCGATCCCTGGTGCCAAAAAAAAAAAAAAAAAAAAAAGTAATGCCTTTACAGTATATTATAACATCGGTACACACCTGGCACTTTCCAAGAGTTCATCTTTCTTATATTCACCTGTGAATGGGGGGGGGGGAGAAATTAAAAAAACAAAACAAAATCAAACTCAATGACATTTTATGCAAAAAGATGCCTGGTGAACTACATTTAACTGGTATTTAATACAGATAAATTTGGAACTAAATTTCTAACAAATGCAAAGTGGTTAATGAACAGAATATCATATAGATTAAAAGTACTTATATAAATACTTCTGTTATGAAAATGAAAAAAGAATGATTTGATATTAATTAACAGAGGGCTTGTTTTGTTTCTTGATAGTACCAGGGACTGAACACAAGGCCTTCATATTGAGCTATATCCCCAGTCTTTTTTAGTTTTTGTCTTTTCTTCCTGTTTTTGAGATAGGATTTCACCAATTCACCAAGTTCCCAGGTTGGGCTTGAATTTGCAATCCTCCTGCCTTGATCTCCTAGAGTGCTGGGATTACAGGTGTGTTACCATGCTAGGGTATAATGAAGTGTTAGATTACAACTATATAAAAGTAGTATGTGTAAAAAAAAAATAAAAGCTCTGAAAGAAATAAATAAACCAACGTATTAAACAAGTTTGTTTTGGGAGGTAAACTACTGGTAAGCTTTCCTTTTTTTTCTTAAAATTTCTTAAAATAAGTAACTGATTAAAAAAACAAAACAAGTATCCACAATTTGACTCAAAACCAAAACAGGGGGTTAGGAGTATAGTTCAATGCTTCAGTTCAGGCTCAGCACATGAGGCCCTAGGTTCAATCCCTGGCAGCAAAAAACTACAAATAAAATCGAAGAAACTAAGCCCAAAATCCTAACATTAAAAAACAAATGAACATACAAAACAAAGACACTTCACTGCATCACTTATAAAAAACTATTTTAAACTGCAAACTTTTTTCAACACCAAGACTGTTTTAAACCAGGTGTGCTGGTGCATGCCTGTAATTCCAGCACTCAGGAGGCTGAGGCATGAGAACTGCCACAAGTCTGAGGCCAGCCTGTGCTACACAGTGAGTTTCAAAGAAGCCTGAACTGCACGGTGAGACCCTGTCTCAGAAAAACAAAATTAAAAATTGTTCCAGTTAAAGCTACTTAAAATATTTACAACTATAAGAAGGATTAATCATAAACTATGCCAGTAACACATTCATAAATCATACAACACTGTAAATGACTTTCATTTTTACACTTTAAGTTTTTCCTTTTTAACATTAGTGTATGTTTGCAATACTTATGCTGGGAGATTGGTACATACATATATATATATAGCATATCTCAATCATTTTCAAACTCTTTAGTCCCCTTCCTAGCTTTGACTTTGACCACTCAGATTCCCATCTCCAGCAAGTCTTTTTGTTTCCTACCAGCTATCCTGTTTTATTTTTCTTTTAGAATTCTCATATAAGAGAAACTATACGTTATTTAACCTTTTATGTCTGATTTATTTCTCTTACATTAGGGTCTCAAATTCCACAAATTCTCCTGTAGATGACATGGCTTCATTGTTCTTTATTGGTTAATAGTATTCCCTTTGTATGCATATACATTTCCTTTGTCCGTTTGTCTGCTGATGGATATTTAGGTTGTTTCTAGAACTTAGCTATTGTTAACTTGTGCTGCTATAAACACTGGAATATACTTAGGTCTGATATGATGTCTTTAACTCATAGAACAGTATGGCTGGATCAAATGTAATTTCTTTTACTTTTTTGAGGAATCACCCACTGATTTCCATAGTAAACTGTACTAATCTTCATTCCCTGCAACAATGTGGGATTCCTTTTTCCCATCCCTTTATCAGCATTTGTTCTTTTCTGTTCCATTCTAAGATGAAATTTCAGTTTTACCGAGTTATATTTCTATAATGGCTAAAAATGATAAAACATTTTTTCATGTACTTATTGGTCAATTATGCTTTAATTTTGAGTTCATTTGCTCATGTTTTGATTAGGTGATTTTAGAAGGGTTTTCTTTTCTTACTTCTTTACATATTTTAAATACTAGTCTATCAGAAGAGCTCAAAAAATTTTTTTCTTGCTCTATCTGTTGACTTTCCACTTTGTTGACCACTTCCTTTGTTGTACAATGGCTTTTCAATTTGATGTAATCCTATTTGTTAATTCTTAATATTATTTCCTATGCTACTGGAGTTCTATTCCAGGAAATCTTAGCCTTGTTCTTCAAGTTTTTCAAGTTATCGCCCAGCTGTTTCAATGTTTGTTTTATATCTAAGTGTCTGACCCATTATGACTTGCTTTAGTATAGGGTGAAAGATATAGATACAATTTCAATCTTCTACTTATGGACAATCACTTTTCCCAGTACCATTTGTTAAAAAAGGAATCTTTTCTCCAACATGTTTTTGGTTCTTTTGGGGAAAAAAAACCCCACATGACTGAAAGTGCATTGAGTTGTTTCTGTATCTTCTGTTCTTTTCCACTGGTTCACATGTTCGTTTTTGTGGCAGTACCATCCTTTTTTTGTTGCTGTAGCTTTGCATTATAACATGAAAATCAGAATTGTGTTGATATTCCTAAGGATTTCTTTGCTATTTTGGGTCTCTTCTGGTTCTATAAACTTCAAAAACCATTTTTTCTAGTTCAGTGAATATTTTTGCTATTCTAATAGGAAATAATAACTTTTGGTTACATGGTAATTTTTCACAGTATTAACTGCATACCTATTGAGTGAAGAATGTATTTCAATTTTCATATATGCTCTTTAGTCTCTTTCTTCAGAGTTCTATACATTTCATTATAGAGGTCGTTTACCCCTTGGTTAGGGTGATTCCTAAGAAGAGTACTTAAATTTTTTCACACTATTGTGAATGAAGCTTTTCCTCAGTTCTTAATGGGTTCATTACTGGTGTACAAGTATGCTATTGATTTTTATGTACTGAATTTGTATCTTGCCACTTTATTGAATTTATCAACTCTGAGAGACTGCTGGTGTTTTGTGGCTCTTCTACGTAAAGGATTGTACCATCTGCAACATGGCTAATATGACTTCTTCCTTTCCTCTTCTTATCCCTTTTTTCCTTTCTCTTGCACAACTGATTGAAGTTTTTAGTACTATATTTAACAAGAGCAGTGAGAGTTAACATCCTTGTCTTGATCCTACTTTTAAAGGATACGCTTTTAGTTTTTCCCTTTTTAGTATGATGTCAGCTGTGGGTTTCTCAGTTTCAAGTATAACGTATTCTCATCAGTTTCTATTGTGATGACCATGTGACATTTATCCTTGATTCTGTGATACATTAATTTACGTTGAATTATCCTTGCATCTCTTGAATGAAGTTGACTTGGAATAGTGTATGACACTTTTAATGATTAGTTGAATTATCTGCAAGTATCTTATTGAAGATTTTTGCATCTATGTTCATCAAAGATGCTGGTCTGTACTTTTTGACCCCCTGCTTGCCAGGCAGGTGCTGAGCTAGGGTGCTGAGCTAAATCCCCTGCCCCTCAGTTTCCTTTTTTTGCTGAGTCCTTATCTAGTTTTGTGATCAGGATAAAGCTTGGTTCATGGAAGTCAATTTTTAACAATTCCTTCCCTTTCAATTGCATGAAGTTTGATAGTACTGGCATTAGTTCCTTTCTATAGCTCTGCCAAAATTCAGCTATGCATCCATCAGGTGGTGGGTTTTCTTAGAAAGCAGAGCTTTTATTGCTGTATCAGGTTTACTGCATGTTAAGTGATATATATCTAGGAATTTATCCATTTTTTTCAGATCCCAAATTTATTGAAATATAAATGCTGAAAGTTGTTTATAATAATCCTTTGCATTTCTGTGATATCTGTTGTAGCATCACCCTTTTCATTTTCAATTATATCAATGTCAGTTCTTTCTTTTAGTTAAGGTTTTAGCAAGTTATCCTTTCAAAGAACCAACTCTTTATTGATTCTTTGTATTTTGTTTTTTAAATCTCACTTTCACTGACTTCCACCCTAATCTTTATAGAATTTATTTCCTTCTGCTAGCTTTGGGTTTGGACTACTGATTTTTCTAAGCCCTTCAGATCATTATGTTATTTACAGTATTTTGTGTTGCTGTTATTTTTCTAATGTAGGTACACTGCTATAAACCTCCCTTTTAGAATTGCTTTCACTGTGTCCCACATATTGTGATGTTGTATTTCAATTATCATTTGATTCTAGGAATTTAAAATTTTTTTCTATGACCTACTGATTATTCAAAAATGTATTATTTTTACAAAATGTATTATATTTACAAAAATGTATCCATGTGTTTGTGTGGTTTCTTTTGCATTTGATTTCTAGTTTCATCACTCTGTGGTATGTTAGGGTACAGAAAATAATTTCTATTCCTTTTTATTTAAGCATGCTCCTTGATCTAAAATATGGCCTGTTTTGGAGAAGTTCCTTTGGCTGCTGAGAAAAACACACATTCTGCCATTGTTGGACGAAACATTCTGTAGATATCTATTAAATCTATTTGTTCTATGCTGCAGTTCAACTGGTATTTCTAACTTTTTTCTTTTTGGGGACTGGTTGAGCTGTTTGTGATAGTAAGATACTAAGTCCCTCATCATGATTATTGGTGTCTATCTGTCCTTTTATGTCAAGTAGTTTTTGTCTTATAAAATCAATGGTACTGATGTACAATGCATATATATTTATACTGTTATCTCTTTTTGGTGAATTGTTTCCTTTACCAGTATGTACTGATCTTGTTTTTTTTGACCAGTTTTGGTTTGAAATCAAATTTGTCAGAAAGTTACAACAGTGATTCTTCTTTTTTTTTGAGACGGGGTCTTGCTATGCGGTTCAGGCTGGCCTTGAGCTTACTTTGTAGCCCAGGCTGGTCTTAAACTCGCAACGATCCTCCCACCTCAGCCTCCCGAGTGCTGGAATTACAGGCGTGAGCCACCACACCTGGCACAACAGTGATTCGTGATTACTACAGGCTCCAACAGCTTGGAGTGCTATTATTCATCTTTTCACTTTCAGTCTGTATACAATTTTGTGGATATGGTAGGTCTCTTTATCAGAAAGTTAAAGACTACTTGGGTTCTTGGATTTTGTTGCCTTCCTTTTTTCTGTTTTGTATTCCTATGAGTACTTTGTTCTGTTTTCTTTTGTTTGAGACAGGGTCTCTTGCTCTATAATTCAGGCTGGCCTCAAATTTTTGTCAACCATCCTGTCTCAGACTCTGAACTGCTGAGATTACAGGAATGCACCACCATGCCTGATAGTAAAATAATTTTTTTTGGTACCAGGGATCGAACTTATGACCTTGTGCTTGCCAGTCGGGTGCAGAGCCACTGAGTTATATCATCCGTCTCCTATAAATACATTATATAGTATCAGTTTGATGGACTTGAGTTTCTTTAGTTTATCTTTATTGTGAATGGTCTTTATTTCTCCAGCAACTTTGAAGGATAATCTTGTAGCACAGTAATCTTGGTTAGGAAGTATTCTCTTTTAGGTCCTGAAAAACTTTTAAACTCTTCTGTCTTTTGTTTTGCAAAATATGCTGATAATCTGATGCGTTTCGTCCTCAAAGGTAACTTGGCCCCTTTCTTTAACAGGTGTTGGTATTTTCTTCTGAACTTCTGGAATTTTTATTATGACCTGCTGCGTGAAGTGTGTAGGCATTTTATTATGAAATGCCTACTTCTATGGACATCAGTCTCACAGTTTTCCAGTCACTGAACCCAAATCCTGACACCTACAATTTGAAGGAGAGGTTTATTTGGGGTCACAATTTCAGGCCATGTTCAGCTGGCTCTAAAGCAGTTAACAGTATGGCAGAGGGACATGGAGGAGAGAAAGACCTTCATTCAATGGCATCCAGGAAGCACAGAGGAAAGGGAATTGGGGACAAGAGACTAGAATACATCCTTCAGGCCACACTCCCAGTGACCCATCTCCAACTAGACCCACCTGCTATCAGTACATGTAGTTACTGAATTCATCAATAAGTGAACCACTGATGAGTACAGTATATCCATGATTCAACCACCTTCCACAAGTGAGAATTTGCGGGGGGCATGCTAGACCTAAACAGTAACAACAATATTCATGTCACTGCCTGGATTTGGGAAATTTCCTGCTACAATTTTAGTAAACAATTTTTTTTTTTACCATTAGTTTCTACCTCTACTTCTTCCTCAAGTCCAATGGTCCAAAGTTTTTTCTTTTTATTGGGGTGTGGGGGTATGTACTGGGAATCGAACATAGGACCTAATGCATTGCCTTCCTTAATCTATCCAGCTGCTTATTTGCATCTTCTTTAAGCTTGCTGATAATTTTATTTATTCGATAAGCTATTTTTTCATTAATTTCGCCTATTATTTTACCTTAATTAGTCTTTTAGGTTCTTAGCCTGGAAAGTGATCCACTTTAGTGCCTGTGAGATCAGCTGTATGAGAGTTACATACTTCTGCTAGCATTTTGTTACCCTGTTTTCTCATGATCATTGTGATCTGGATTAAAGATTTTAAATAATTTGGGGTAGAAAGCTCTGTACCAGCTTGTAGTAGAGATGTGTTTAGAAAACAGATTTCTTCCTGTGATGACATACCTTTGGCTTTGGGAATAATTCAGTGTGAAGAAACTTACTTTACTTATCTCAGATTACTAGCATCAGTTTCATATATCTCTGCACTTTGAAAAAAAGAACAACTGCCAATAATATCAACATCCAAAGAGCCAATCATGTACCAGCATGTAATGTCAAACTTGTTTTAAAAGTTTTCAACTCTTTCAATAACTCAGGAAGACAAGGGAGTAATAATGATGAAGAAAAGAACAAGCCGGGAATTAGGAGAAAAGAGTGAAAAAAGAGAAAAGAGAGGCAAAGAAAAATGAAAGAAAAAAAAAAAAATCCTGGTTTTTGGTTTGTTTTTTGAGACAGGTTCTCCCTGTATAGTTCAGCCTGGTCCTGAATTCTCAGCAATCCTCCTGTTGGGATTATAGGTATGGAACACCACACTCAGCTATTATAAAAACTAGGTTTTGATAGTATTATTTTTATGCCCAGAAACCAGTGGTTGGGATTGAGAGGTTAAATGTACAGCTGAAAAGAAACAAAGTCAAGAAAATATAAATGGAGACACCAGTCACATATTATCAGCTAACTGAGACATTGTTTACAAAGATCTTTACTATTCTGCTATTTAAGTATAAAATAACAGGCTAGAGAAAACTAATGATATTCAGATTAATGCTAATAATGTATATTCATAGGAGCAGAAAGCATAAAACAAGGAAAAAACAGAAAAAGAAAAATAAAATGAACTACAAAAGAGTGGGGGTGAGCAGAGAGCTGGAAGGCCGTATGTGCAAGGATGTAGAGAAAGCAGAAAAGAGAGGCAATATAGTCACAAGGTAAGGGAAGAGGTAAGGGGACCATATTCAATTGTTGACCTGACTGTTAAAGAAAGATATCCTTAAGAACTGACTTTAGTTATGGGAATCTATGATTAAACAACTTATGAGGATTATGGTACTAAAACAGAAAACAAATATAGACTGACATAAAAGGTCTAAATTATATTCAATAAAATCACAATAAACAAGCAAAAAAGAAAAATGGAAAAATTATGTATATGAGATTGTCCTGCTCTATTGGTTAGAATAAATGATCTCTGAGCAGTCTGTCAGTGTTGCTGTGTTCAGACCATCCACCTTATTGAGGAACCTCTAGTGTTCTCACAAACCATGAAGTGGAATCAAAGCCATTCTTTCCAGTGTCTCAAGTTTAGAGTTCCAGCCCATACTTCTACCACAATCTCTGCAGCAAGATGTACTCTCTCTGGGGCTCCTAGGCTATGTGCCTGCCATAGCATCTATGCATGCTTCTACGCTTTCCTTGTCTCCAGTCAGTGGCACATTTGGTTCCTCATCTTTCTTCTGCTTATGATTACGAAGCACCCAGGGGTCATGAACTCCAATCTGGAGTTCTTTGTCCAACTCCAATACTGCCTTACTCAAATGTCAGAGCCACGACTGTTGTCACCTCTCACGACCTTTAGTTCTTGCCACATTTGCCTCCGCCTCAGTCCACAGTCTCCCTCTGGGTCCAGTCATTTCAGTAACTCGTGCCTTTGGAGATGCAAGCCTGAGCCTGGGATGCCTGAGTCAGTAACTGATTCTTAGTTTTGTCCTAGTCCTCCAAACTTTTCTACTGCTCTTGATCCCACCTGGGATCAGGGACATCTTCTCTTGCACGAGTAAGTCAATTTCTGGGTCCTGCAACCTAACAGGAATATCACTGGGCTGGTCCGGCCTGTCGTCAGTGGTGGCTAGGGCAAACACTATGCTGGCTTTCACCTCCAGAGGTTTTCACCCCTAGAGTACTTGGATATTCTATAAAATGGCACAGTCTCCAGATCTGAGCTGAAGTAGATTCTCATTTTAGCTTTTCTCATTTCAGTATTGCATCTGTTTACTCACATATTTCAGTGAGAGTTTTTCTTTCTTCCTGTGCAGCCACAAAACTATTAACCTGGATGAGTCCCTCAAACTGATATAAGTGCTGTAGTCTCTAGATTGCCAAAAATTAACAAACATATGTTGAAACAGCCAAACTGTTACCTACAATTTGAACTGTATGAAATGTGATTGCTGAATTTCTTTTGTATCCCAGGATTTCTTAAAAAGGTCTAAGTGTGGAATAACTTAGAGCAGTAAAAGAGGAAACACTGAATTAACTGATAATTGTAATAGCATTTCCAGAAGTCTTTCCACGGACTAGTCTCACTTGCCTTAGAAATGCTATTAGAAATTTCGCAAAGTCTGAAGTCCAAACACAAAAGTGGACAGCAGAACTCTTCAGGCTTTTGCTTTTTAAGGAATTGTGGGTATTTTTGTTTTTTGCTTGTTTTGTTCTGGTGGAACTGAGGATTGAACCAAAGGCCTCTCTTATGCTAGGCAAATGCTCCAACTTAGGCCTTTTTAGTTTTAATTTTGTGACAGTGTCTTGCTAAGTTTTCCAAGCTAGTCTGAATTTAAAATCCTCTTGTCTCAGATTCCTGAGTGGCTGGGGTTAGATCAAGGCCATCATAACTAGCTGGGATTTGCTTTTCAGATTATTAGATATGATTCTACTGGTTATTACACAGTAGATAATAATTTTAATTCAATAAATAATACAACAGTCACTTAAGTAGAAAGCACACTGACAAAGGAAAAATAACATGAAGTAGGTACAATTTTTAAAAGCTTGGTAGTCTAAACTCTAAAGGTCTATACATTAATAGATTCCAAGGGCATGAATATAGCTTAGTAGAGTACCATAATTAGCATTGCTCATGCTACTAGAATAAGTACACCAGATTTTATTGTTTTAAAGATGATCACTGAAAGGAATAATTACCGCTTTGGGGAAATATTCCATCAAAAATTATTAAAATACGCTAAAAAAGTAATTAATGTAGACCTAAGTTATTTGCAAAATTTAGACACTGTAAAATCTCCTCAACACATGATAGCACACAGGATTATCTATCATGCTCTGCCCCATATAAGGTAACAATGACAAAATTTAAAGTTGAACTTGAGAAGAAAGTTTTATCATTTTAAGACAAGAATCAAATGTCAACTGTTTAGATGTAGAAAAGAAAAGCAACTGAACTGACACTATTTAAAAACTCTGAGGTCACTAACTCCAGGAGACAGACAGTGTACTTATAAACTTATTCTTTATATCCTTCCTGGAAACACCAAAGAGGTTATACAAACTTACCAGTGAGGACTGCTTTGGCAGATGGGTCTGCTAAATCCAATGCTGTTCTTCCATCTGTATTTCGGATGGCTGGCTCTGCTCCATGCTGTAAGAGCACTGCAAAATAGCAATACACCTTTTAGAATGGTTATCATAATCCCCTTATTGGAGTAAACCACTTTCTTAAAAAGTTCTGGTTTAGAAGTTGTTTAAAGACCTTCATAGCCTAATAATATAGTAAATATTATTATTTAAAATTTAAGAACACATATTCTATGATTTAATGCACTAAAGACACATTTAATGACATTCTTTTCAATTCAATGTGAGATTTTCCTATTATTTAAATAGCTGACGACAAAGGACTGAAGATTGATAAAATATACTTTAAAAAAAGGTCAAGTTTGTTTAAAAGCTTTTCTCATTCCAAAGGAAAAGTGCCTGTGCCAGAAAGACTTTTATTATGATAGAAATGAAATGTCTAAAACTCCAGAAAGTCCAGGAATCTCTATTTTGTAGGATTAAAAAATCTATAATGCCATCGGTCATCATTCGATTCATCAAGAAAATTAATCAACAGCAGGTAGTTGTTTAGATTTGTCCATTAGTGACAATATAAGGCACTGTACTTCAACAGCAAAATAAACTAGCCTGAGTGGAGTATGTATTCACTAAAAGCAATGGAATATTCCTCACAAGGACATCTTTTTTCGAAAAAGAAACTTACTGGGCATATACAGACGGGTTAACAGCTAAGTGGTCAGTATGTGAGGTTAATTACACTGAATTCTGGGTTAAAATAAAAATGCTCTCTCCAGGATTAACCAACTCCAAACTTTATGAGTGGCCTGACAGCCACCTAGCAGATTAGTACTCTTCTGTGCATGTCACAGAGGTTGGGTTAGGGTCCATGTCTGAACTCTCATCCCTTCCTCTCCAATACCATTTCCCTACTCAGCTTCTGGGATACTATGAATGTTTTGCTCTACTACGCCCTTTTCCTATGGTGTCAGAAGATCATGCACCGAGATCTCTAAATTGTGAGTCACAAAAGCCATTTCTTCCTTTCTTTCCCTCATTTCCTTTTGTGGTACCAGGAACTGAATCCAGGGCCTTTACTCTTAACTACATGTCAAATCCTTTTTATTTCAAGACAAAGTCTTGCCAATTTGCAAAAATTGGTCTGGTCTCCAATTTATGATCCTTTTGCTTCAGCCTCTTCCAGAATGTTGGGATTATAGGTATATATGTACCACATCTGGCTAACCATTTCCTCAAAACAAAAAACAAAATGAAACAAACAAACAAAAAAAATCCTTAAACTGCTACACTGTAATTCAAGGCACACAAAAGGAGAAGCCTTGTGTTATGCTTGGAATGTATTATATAAAGATATATATAGTATGCTTTATTCACAAATAAGCTGAGGAAAAACAGGCAAATATACAAAGAAAGGAAGCACAGCTCCAATTCTACTTCTAGCTATAATGTGCTGTTTAACAGGAATAAAATGTGAGCAATAAATCATCACATATGTAACTTAAAATTTTATAGTAGCTATATTAAAAATGAAAAGTTTAAATTAATTTTAACATTTTATTGAATTGAATATATCAAAAAGCAGTATTTAAATTCACATTTTAATCAATATGAAAATATTAAGATATTTCACATTCTTTTTTGCATGTCTTTGAAATAGAATATGGATTTTTCCCTTGTAACACATTTCAATTCAGACTAGTTACACTGCGTACACTAAGCTACTATAGTGGATGGTGTAGGTCTGTAACAATATTTAGAAAACTGTGTCATATTAAAACTCTGTATCATATTATTAAAATTATATGTCTAAGACTGTTGATATACCAGGGATGGAAGAGTAAGGGATGGAAGGAGAATTTGACAGCAGTATGTAGGGAACCCATTTTTCATTTTTTTAAATGACTAAGCTGATGATTTTGATATAAATACTGAATTGAGACCTAGGGCAAGGGTAGCTAATTTAAAGATGGAGTTAACATCATGATACTGAGGCTCAGAAAAGTAAGTACCAAGTTAATAAAAACTATCTTCTCACATATAATTTGTCAGTGGTCAATCTGTTAGAAAATCTTTTCTTGTTAGGTTTAAGTCTTTTTTATTACTATATTTTTCCACTAAATGCTTTTTAAATTTCTCTTACTATTTTAAATCTCCTATATCAACCTCAGGTTATCCTTATTTCTCACCTGTGTTATTTTATATCGTAAGTAGTCTCCCTGCTATGATTCGTCCTATCCAGCTTCCTATCAAATTATTCATGCTAAAATATACTACTCTCTGGCCGAGGATATAGCTCAGTGGAACCACCACACACCTGGCAAACACAAAAAAACTATTATTTTTATGAAACTATTCCTCTGTTCAAGTAGTTTCAGTATTACACTGCTTATGTAGTAATATCAAGTTCCTGAACCTAAAATTCATTTTTTTAAAATAAAGAATTCACTATCATTTAAAAAAAAATCTTTCACTTGAAGGACTACTTCAGGAAGTTGGGCTTTGAGGTTTTCTTTATCTTTTCACTACGCAGTTCATTCAGTCTGGCCTTGAACTCACTTTGTAGTTCAGGCTGGCCTCCAAATTGCAGTGATCCTCTTGCCTCTGATTCCCCAGTGCTGAGATTATGGACAGGCACCATCATGCCTGACGAACCTTGAGATTTGACTTTTCTCAAGTCACTTTACTAATCATTATTCTCTAACACTTAATGTTCATTTCTACCATGTCTTTACCTGGCTTTTTGTATATCTTATCTCTCAGAAGAATGCAATTTTTTAGAGAACAGCAACTTTGTACCTATTCTCTAAAAAAATTTCAAACTCGGAGCTGGGGATTTAGCTCAGCGGCATAAGTGCCTGCTTGCAAGCAGGCAGTCGTGAGTTCAATCCCTAGTACCGATAAAAACGAAAAAGACAAAAAAAAAAAAAAAATTAAAACTCAGTACCACACACAAACAGTGATTATATTATGTAGTATTCTTAAAGATTTAAACTTAGCCAGGCAGAATTTGCTATTAACCAACAAATTCAACGTAGATTCAGAACAGTTACAATTTCGGGTTAATTCTGAAAAGAAAAAAAAAAAAAAAAAAAGAAGACAAGAAAAGAAATAATCTTACCAATGCAAACATCAATCTTTCCTTTGATTGCAGCTTCATGGAGAGGTGTATAATTCCAGTTATCTCGAGCATTTGGGTCTGCACCATGTTGCAAAAGGAGATTGACTACTTCAGCATGACCAAAAGAACATGCATTATGAAGAGGAATAAGCCCCCCATCATCACGTGCTTGGACATTTGCACCATTCTGAAGTAAATATTCAACTACATCTTTTCTCCCGAAACCTAGAATAAAACAAATTATCCACATTTAAGTTTGTCAAGAAAAAAAAATCAGTATGTTATAATCCATGTTAAAATGCTTCAGTATGGAAAATAAAATTTAACAATCCAAGAATTATTGAAAAAATGACCTGAACTATATCAGTAATTAATCTTGACAGAACCAAAGCATCTTGCTGCTCAGTAGCCTACAGTACTGTAGGGCCTTAAGCGATACTATTAAGTTTAGAGAAAGAATACAAGTGATGAAAAGCTCAAAGTTCAAATGTTTTTCACTATACAACAGCATTTCTAATTGTAAAGAGTTCTCCATATTTGGTGTATACACATATTCACATTTCAAACTATGTAAATTAAATAATTTACTTAGTAAATTAATTTACTACTTTGTAATCACTTTACAAAGTAGTAAATTTTCTTTTAATCTTCTTTGAGTAACTTTTCTATATCTATTTTGTATAGTGATCTTGCTGAAGTGAATGACTATGAGAGCAACAAAGCAAGACTGGGTTACAGTTTATATCATATATAGGAGATAAGAGAGGTGACTTCAGCTGGGCATGGTGGCACATGTCTGTAACCCCAGTACTTGTGAAGATGAGGAAGGAGGACTGCTCTGAGCTGGAGGCCATCCTGGGCTACATAGTGAGTCTAAGGCCAGTGTGAACTACATGGGAAATCCTGTCTCAAACAAACAAGCAAAACAAAATAAAACAACTTAGTGACTTGATTATTTTGATTGAGTAGTAGTATGAATTTCAATTTGTTATTCCCATATATTAGTACTTAATATACTTTTACAGCCAATTGTGAAATGAAAAGAAGAAAAGCAAACAAAAAGATATATATAATTATGTTGAGAAACAGGGAAAGAACTCCTTACTCTTCTGACATTTCTCCAAAATATTATTAAAATCACCAAGCCTGAAAGCAGTGCTAAGAACACTTGTGTGGAAATGGATGAGAAAGGCTGACAGGAAACTCACTGCAACTGAATTAAAAAAAACAAAACAAAACATTGAAGATTAACTGTTTTTTTTTTAGAGGGGTGGTAATTGCTTTTACAGATATTGTAGTCACAAAGGTGAGTATATTTGCTTCTCTCTCCTCAAAAAGTTCTCAATTCAAGGACAAAACACTGCAATCTAAGCAGAAGAAACAAAATGTATATGACAATGAAAGTATGCAAAAGTAAATTCTGTATAAAAGTTAAGACACAGAATGCTAAAGTAGGGAGATACTAGAGGAGAAAGAATCTTGTGTAGCAGGCTAAGGAGCTGTCTGGATTTTGTCTCATAGACTAGTGTTTTTCAGACTACATTTCAATGAAATCTTATTTATGATCCAATATGTAATGTTTATTATTAAATATTGTTATGTAGTTGGCACTCAGTTCAAACCAACAAACGAATATCCTCATTCTTTCTTGCAAAGACTTCCCAAAATATCCTTGTGTTTTTGACCTAACTCCTAGAAACAGTTTGAAAAATACTACCATTATACATCAGTCAGTAAAGATTTGTTTAGGGCAGTAACTCCATTACCCTTTTTTTTTTTTTGAAGAAAAATCTCCTTGAAGGTTTGTGTGGATAAATGAATGCAATGTGAACAGGTCGGGCAGACAGATTCTTGTTTAGACTGCTATTGCCACAATCCACACCATAAATGACAAAATTAAGACTGATGTGTCAGCTAGCTTGGTTACATGGTACAAATATTCTCCTGTGAAACCTTCCTGCTACTTCTATTCCCAGCCTCCCAGATCCCTTCCTGAGTGTCGGCCTTTTGCACACATTTTTGAAGTGTATATATGTGTGTGTAAATGCACCTCTTTTAATTTTTTAAAAGATCCTGCTTACATTTTAAGAAATCTACCAATATACTATAGCCTCCCAGATCCCTTCCTGAGTGTCGGCCTTTTGCACACATTTTTGAAGTGTATATATGTGTGTGTAAATGCACCTCTTTTAATTTTTTAAAAGATCCTGCTTATATTTTAAGAAATCTACCAATATACTAGATTAGCACATATTTTTGTTATTGAAAGTATAAAAATTTAACTAGTTCCATTCTCAAGGATAGTTCATTTCCAATTGTTCACTACTGTACACACTATTGCAAAAAGTAACTAGAGAATTGGAAGAGAAAATTAACAAGATCCAATGATTAGTTTGTGAAAGGATACAAGGGCTGAGGATGACTATCAGATTTCTGATATTAGAATAAAACAGGTTTTGAGCAACAAGGTTTGATTCTGGAAATAATTTGAAGTACTTGTGAGACAAACGCCTAGTAGTAGGTTCTGTGGTTCTTGAATTCAGGAAGCTAGTCATAACTATTAAGATAGCATTTGAAGCTATGCAAAAATACTAAGGAGACTTGCTTTCTACCTATTTTGTTATTCAATTCTTTTCACCTTGCACTGCAGTCTTTTTTTACTTTAAGGTCTTTGCTGCCCATTCTCCTCACTTACCCATTCTACTAGATCACTCTTCACAGTATATAAACATGTTCTAACTTCTTTCATTGTATAAAAAGTACTCTCCCTGAACTTCTGTCCCCATTTCCAAAGTCATCTGCATAATACAATCTTTAAGGACTGCCTCCCATTCACTATTCTCCCAAACTCAATGGATTTTTGCTTCTTTCAACCAGGTTGCTTAAAATTTTCACATCCAAGTCACACAACTAGGCATCTTTACAGCATTCAACAACTATGCCTTCCTTTCTGAAGAACCTAGAGAGATTCTACAACATCTGACACTCCTCTGATTTTTCTTCTTGTCTCATTCATTCATTTAACAAATGATCAGAAACTATCAATGGGAGCCAGACTCTTTTCTGAAATCTGAGAGGCAACAATGAACAAATCAGTTCCTTGTTTTTGAGCAATTTCTCTTCCATGGTGATGCGGAAGAGTATTTTTTTTTTTTTTAAATGGGAGGAAGTGATGAGAAAAAAGAATAAAAAGTTAGATCAAGGTTGTGTGTTATGAAAGGGGGACTGTAAAGTTGAATATGATGTTTAGTCACAAGAGGTCATGCTGAGACGGTAAAACATGCTCCAAGGCTTAAGAGGTGAGAGTGAGTTAGGCCAGATTGGGTGGAATATATTGAGTAAGGGGTAGCACAGGAGATGAGGTTAGAAGTTGAGGGGCCAGATAAGGACATAGGAGTTAAGGAACACTGTAAGAACTCTAGTTTATTTTGAGCAAATGCAGAGTCACTGCAAGGATCTAAAGTTACCTGATATATTATTCTCTGGCTGCTGCTGGAATAACGATAGCAGATTATGAGTAAGAATTCACAGTGGTTTGGACCATAATGTGGTCGCACTTGTCAACATAATGATAAATGGCAAACTGGTATTGAATGGGTAGAGCTAGCCGTTACCCTATGAACTATATACAGGGTGAGAAACAGAGCAAGAATGTGTAACACTGAGTGAAAAATCATGGATCAGATCACCCAAAGGTTTTGGCTGAGTAATGGAGGAGTGCAGCAATCATCAACTGAGATGGGAAAATTTATAGATGAAACAGATTTTTGAAAAAGAACAGAATTCAAATTTTGGACAAAACATCTCTCTTCTTTCTCTCTGTGGGCATCTTGCTTCTTCTGTCCAATTTATAAATGATGGGATTCCTCAAAACTCAGTTCTTGTGGTAGTCCACACCTCTAATCCCAGCATTCAAGAGGCTGAAGCAGGAGGATCTTTCTGAGGAGGCCAGCCTGAACTACACACTGAGTTCAAGGCTAGCTGAACTACACAGTGAGACCCTGGCACAAAAAAAAAAAAAAAAAAAAAAAAAAAAAAAAAAAAAATCGAAACCCAAACAAAAAGCCAAAATAAAAAAAGATCTGTTCTCTATCCTCTCTTTAGATATTATCAACTCATATGTCCACTGAATAATGACGTAAAAAGCATCTAAGTACTGTATGTTCCAAGCTTCTCTTCATTTCCACTGACACTGTCCTATTCCAACCTTCGTCATCTCCAACCTGAACTACTGTAACAGTCTCTTAAGTGGGCCCTTGAGAGACTATTCCCCTCTCTGTTACTAGTGACCTTTCAAAAACAAACATAATACCACATTCCTGTTTAAAACTGTTCACTGGCTTCCCATGCTCACAGAGTAAAATCCAAACACTTTAATATGGCCTACAAGATTCCTACATGAACTGACCTTTACCACTTTCTTTAACTTTCCTAACAGTCTTCCTTTTCCCAACAATAATCCACTTCCATTTCAGTCCATTAAGCATGCCACAGACTTGGTAAAGGCTTTCTTCTTGGAATGTTCTTGTTGAGAAACATATTTTACTATTTACTTATTCATCCTTACTGTTAAATGTCTTCACCTTAATAAAGGCATTTCTAACCATCCTATCTCAAGCAGTCCATTTAACATTATTTTTTTTCTTTTAGTGTGGTACTGGGGATTGAACCCAGGCCATTCACACTGAGCTACATCCCCAGTCCTTTTTAAAACTTTTATATTTTTTATTTGAAACAAAGTCTCTCCAAGTCACTAGGTTGCCTAGGCTGGGCTCAAACTTGTAATGCTACTGTTCAGCCTCCCAGAGTGATGGGAATATAGGAATGTACCACCATGACTACCTTATTTCCCATCTTAATGCTATTTATTTGTTCTGCCTCCCCATCTTCACTAGAATGCAAGTCCCACAAATTCAGGGTGTTTTGTTTTTGCTGTTTACGTTAGTTACCTTTGCACTTATTAAATTTGTAATTATACTATCTCATGGAGCTGTAGCTCCATAAAGGGCAGGTACAATGTCCTTCATAGAATCTGGTATGCAACTATTTGTTGATGTTTGTTGAAATAATACATCATGGTCTAAGAAACGAGATTAGGAAGTAAAACTAAGAAAGAATGGTATCAAAAAGGAAAATTTTAAGAAGGCCAAATCACTTGTCGTTAGATCCAACATCACTCTTCCTTTAACACTACCTGGAAACTGCTGATCATATTGTCCTTGTCA